GATGAATCATTCTTCATCGCCGATTTGGGCCAGATACTTCGACAACATCGTCGTTGGACTCAGCATATGCCCGGTATACGGCCGTATTATGGTATAGTACCCATTCTATCATGTTTCCACCTTTCAAATAGAAAGCTAACTTATTTTTCCTGCAGCGGTCAAATGCAATTGTGACCCAACCTTCCTCAAAGTTCTTGCAGAACTGGGGACAGGGTTCGACTGCGCGTCCATTGAAGAGATGCGCGCAGTTCTCAGTCTCGGCGTAGATCCAGCCCGGATTCTGTTCGCCAATCCATGCAAAGCACCCGCCGCCGTAGCTTTTGCACGGGAGGTTGGTATCTTGAGAACAACATTTGACAATATTGACGAATTGGATACCATCAAGGCACACATGCCAGAAGCTCAGCTGTTACTTCGTATCTATGCAAATGACGAGGGTGCTTTCATTTGTCTGAGCGAAAAGTTTGGTGCGCAGTTGGATACAACCGAAGAGCTCCTTTCAAGAGCTTGGGAGCTTGGGCTGAATGTGATTGGTGTCAGTTTTCATGTTGGTAAGTACTTGGGTACTTCTGGTCTTTCATAGCTGGTCATATTTATTGACCATTCGGAACTATTAGGGACGGGTGCTACCAATTCAGCATCATTTTGCAAGGCCATCAAAGATGCACGCCTGGCCTTTTCACAAGCTGAAAGTCTAGGTTTCCACCCCGAAATTCTCGATATCGGTGGCGGTTTTCAAGACGATTGCTTTGAGTCTATGGCCCCCATTATTCGAGATGCGATTCGGTCCGAGTTTCCAGCTGGTATCACAACGATCGCAGAACCAGGTCGGTTTTTTGCTCGTAGTGTGTATACTCTTGTATGTCGAGTGATTTCACGTCGTCGTCAGCTTGGGAGTGCGGCTCGATCTGGTGTTCCAGACATGCTTTATCAAAACGATGGCATATACGGAAATTTTATGAATGTGATTATGGAGAAAGAGATCATGGTTCCTTATTTGGTCAAGAGTAAGAAGGCCAGGGGGTTCTTACATAAACAAAACCCAGGGGATGCTTTGCAAGTAACAGATCATCGTTACTCGATTTGGGGACCTACATGTGATAGCACTGATTGTGTTGTGCGCGAGGTGACGCTTGATTCTGAAGTCAAGATTGGAGATTGGCTCAAATATAAGAACATGGGAGGTGGGTATCCTCGTTTTATTCTTGGGATTTCAACAAAACTGACGGAGTTCCAGCATATACAAGTACCACGGCCACTAAATTCAATGGCTTCAGCAGCACCTATGACACATTTTATGTCAACAGTGAAACGTTGCCTGGATATTAGCTGCAGAGGGTGTTTGCGGTCTTGAAGCCATCAGATCAGTATGGGAGTGGCTCAGTCCCTCGCTCAAAGACCCATGGTGGATAAGCTGCAAGTGACATGATATATGACACGGCATATCGACCGTGTCAAAGAAAGAAAAAAAAAAAAAGGTAACAGGCCAAAATAGCTGTGGCCCATGTGACTGACGGCCTTGTTGAGCATGTTGATAGGTTTGGGGCCGGTGCAACCGGAAATCATGTGTGGTTAGCAGCACTTGAGGAATTAGATCGCTTACACGATCTCCTGAAAATTTCAAGTGTAAATCGATGAATAGCCTGCATTCATTCAGCTTGAGCGCGCAGCCTCTTGCATATATCTATACCGAAAACCATAGAGTCCATAACTATAATAGTAGGATAACCGAGCCCATCCAAAAACAATAACCGCACGCTGAAACGAATAAACACCATAGTCTCCAGGGATTTTCCTATCACTCCAGACGGAATGAAGATAGCGAAAAGGATATCAATCATAAAAAAAAAAAAAAAAAAGAAAGAAAAAGGGGGAAAAATCCCACAAGAGAAAGACATAAGAGAACTGCCGAGATAAGAGGCAAGAGGTGACAGAAATTGAAAATATGTAAAGAGAGACGAGAGAAAGATCTCGGGCGACATCATACTTTCTCCATTCCGGACATCGAGACATCGTCTTGAATCGCATTCTCTGGGAGAGACTGCTTGATATCCATGCCATATGGCTGAGCGTCGGAGGAAGATTCACCCTGCTTCTCTGGCACGTCGGATGAAGCTCCGTTCTCGGGTCGTTTTCGGCCGAGCCGCTCGCACCAGTGCTCAGCACTGACCAATGTGTCATTGACGACACCGCTAACTTGCGCCATCATGTCTAGACCCTCTTGGGCCAGTACCAGGATGCGATGAGCACTGACTGTGGCATCGGAGGCAGCAGCTGGGGAGTCTGGTGGTGGCTGCGATGTGGATGCAACCTGGAAGCGGTGCGGCAGAGACGTCAAGTGTCGACGCACTAGATGGCGGGCATTTTCTGGCAGGGCACCTCCTGCATACTTGGAAACAACATCCACTACTTGTTTCAAGGTCGATAGTACATCGGCCTTGACAGCTTGGATGCGCTGGATAAGCAACGAGGCATTTTCTTGCCCACTGTCTCCTGCCTCCATATCCGACGGTGATCGCGCTTTGTGGTTTTCCCACTCGTTGACAGCACTGTGTAGTGCTACAATGGATTTGCCTAATCGACCGTTTGCCCATCGAAGCCAAGTTAGACAATATTGCAGACTGCGCAACGATTCATCGCTCATGGCCACTCCGAGTCCAGAAGTCGAAATAACTAGTCGGCTTTGCCATGTCGGCTCAGAACGTCTTCCTGGTTTCTCTTCGTAGTGAGGAGACCTCACTTCGTCGTATGGCGGGAGCGACTCTTCCATGGAAAGATCGGACGAGCTTCGTGTTCGCGGTGGGTGAGCTGAGCCGTCCGGTCCCTTCTCCCCATTCATCGTTCGCGGCGACACATTCCCATCCATCTTTCGTCGCTTATTGATGTGTTTTGAGTCTTCGCTTGTCGAATCTCGCCGCTGTAGCGCCCAACGGAGACCGCTCTCGACACCAGTCTTGCGGCCTACCGTGCCGACGGTGTTCGCGACAGGTGATCCAATATTGCGCTCGATGAACTCAGCACCAGACTTGAATCGCGGCGAGTATGATTTCGAGGTGGCGTAAGCAGAAACCGAGCCATTTATGGCAGAGGAGATAAGTGGATGGGAAGAAGTTAGCAGAGACAATAGTGGCTCTGGTTGCGGTGGGTCCGGTGAAGTGACGGGCAGGGATTGTCGCGCTGTTCGAGGAGATTGTCCGAAATCTATTGTTGAGATTAGTTGAAGGTCCGTCGCACATGAATCCTAATCCAGCGAAAACCGAAAGTTGCGACACTCTAAGTGGGCTGGTTCGGGATATCAGAGCCACGTACCGGAGCGAAGCCCCTCAAGGGCCTGCGCAGCTTCAAGATCATCCATCGATAATACACTGGCAGCTCGACGAGATCGATCTTCTGCTTTATCGACATCCATCACAGATGGATGAGCATTATGATAAGGCGGAGTCGTAAGTGATGGGGCGAGGTTACTTGTAAGCGCGGAGGGGAGCGAATTGGTCGAGCTCAGACTTGTGGCGTTTATCTTTCGGATAGGTGATTTTGGCCTAGCGGCTTTTGGAGGTTCCATGGCGGGTCATAGATCGTCCATAGAGAGAGAGAGTAGTGAACCCCAAGACGTCGGAGTTTCGCATCGTATCGTCTTTCACGTGAAAAAGTGTCACTTATCCACTAGTCTCGATTAGGAAGGAAGATGAGGTAATCACATTCCCACGGTACCTGCTCGGCCATACATTCTACTATAGCTGCCGATGTACCTTTTCTCATCACATGTCAAATCTCTCGTTGTCCCAACAAACTCGCATCTATTCGCCCTTCTTGGCACTTCGATCTTACCGAAAATGATTATTTTACCTGTGATGTGATATGAAAACTCTGAAGTCACCGACAATTGTGTCCTGCGTACACCGTACGATGTACTTTGTAGTGCCAACGCGTCTGCCTATGGAGCTTTTCACTATGTAGTCGATTCCTATTTCGCGAGTATACCCGCCACAACACATAGATAGTATGATATGGAATAAACACATCACACATCGGTCCTACGGAGAAGAATCCATGATTCCGGAAAAGGCACCACGAACCCCTCCGGAGTTCATCATTTCCCTATGTCATAGTACTTCCATTTTTACCGTTGCTAATAATGGTAACTTGACTAGTACCTCTGTATGCATGTACCCCAACATGCGCTAGGATAGGCTAGGATATGCTCGACAGGTCAAATACGAGACCGAAAACGATCGCTCTTAATCCCTGACACCTTTTCTCCACGAACTACAACGTATGTTGTAGACGTTGCAGTTCTAGTTATGCATTGTGCTTGGTTCCCTGTGTCGGTTGCACACCTTTTCCCCCCCTTACTCCATACGGAGTACGTTGTCCGCATGTACTGTACTATGTAGATTGACATTGTCCCGGAAGACGTTGCTCCGTCCTATCATGTGCCTATACATGTATGGAATATGATTTATTGGCCTTTAACCTGCGAGTCCCATTTACCGCTCTGTTGGCCGGTACGAAATGTACTTAAGAGCCTGATTTCTCTTGACGATATTAATGTATTTTAATATTGGGCACAACAGCCCAAATATGGTCTTTGTTTCAGTCTATAGGCCCAATCTTATATTTGTTGGGCGATATACTACCCGTTTCGGCTTGAGCACGGCATGTGATGTGGGGAGTGTTTTAGCATTTGACTTTTGAGGACTAGGATGAACTCTGCTTAATAGTCTTTTAGGCAAAAGTCCGATGGTATGTATGATATGTTAAAAGTACTCTATATTAGGTACAACATGTGATTGGGGCTGTCTATCAACTCTAACATATGCAAAAATAACAAGGTATCTATCTCATGCTATGTTCAACGATCACAGACATCACAAGAAAATATCGCTCAGGTTCAAAATAGGCAAAATAAAATGCAGGGTCGTTGTTGGCATCACTCTCTCACATTACATGGACAATTTGTCCTCCAATCCGATCATCGTAATATGACCAACCAGTTCCTTTCAAGAGGATAGCATGGCTTCAATGGCTTCTCCGTCTTCATACTCATCTACATAATCGGTCTCATCTACTGGGAATTCGTTGGCCGTGAGATGTGCCACCATTTTCTGATTCACTTGGTAGCAGGCGACCACCTCATTGATGACAAGGCGGGATGGGGAGGCGGACGCCTTGATCTCGCACAATGTCTCGCCGAAGGAATGGAGAATAAACCGAGAGTTTGGACATCGACGGTAGGTGTACGAAGCTACCAGCCGTTGCCACTCATTGCGGCTGTTTTGCCAAGTGTGGATGAGCGGGTGTTTGCCCGCATTGGGCGGAGGGAGCGCAGCTGCATTCTCGGCAGCTTGACGGGATATAGCAGAGAACTCATCGCCAGTAGAAGCAGAGTGCCCCTGATTCCACTGCTTGTACAGTTCGTCTATCGACCTCTTGACTTCACCAAGTGCGTCTTTCAACTCTTGACCGTGCTCAGAGTTGCTCTTCGATGCTTCATTGGCTTCACTCCACGGACGAATGAGGTCATCATCGAGCTGGTTTTGGCTATCGTTCTCGGGGAACGCCTCGTTGAGACCCGAGAGAATTCTGCGAAGCTCCGACTGTGCGACGTTAAACGTGAGGTAGTCGACAATATTCGACGGTTTGGACCTACGCTCCGGGTTCCGATATGCGGGAAGCGCACGTTGCTCAGGGCTAATGGTTTTGCGGTATTTTTTCCAGGCTTGCTCTGAAAGATGAACTCCACCTTTCCGGCCATCCACAAGGTGACCCAGAAGACAGGCTAGCTCTTTCGCTTTCGGAAAGCCGACCGACTCATCGTATGCCAGTTTCTCATGCTCGAAGGTACATCGTCCCAGGTTTGAGAGGTTGAGGTTGAAATCAAACACACTTTCCAAAAAGTCTTCCGTCGACTTCAGGGAAGCCATCGGAACGGAGTGTTTCGTGAGCCCGTAATACTCTGCGGAATATTTATCTGAGGGCATTGGAGAATTTTGGAACCCCTCGACAATCACTGGATCCCAGCAGATCCACGGCTTATCGCCATCGTAATCCCCCCCCGGAGAGCATACCGGCTAGAGGAAAAGTCCCTGTGGTGGGAAAGACAATCACATCTTTAAAATGACGTAGTTCAGTCTTCCACACGGCTTTGCGCCGTTGAATATCAGACGGTAAATGGGCTGGAACTCGGCCTACAAGAACATCTACCCCATCGAGTAGGTTGTCTTCAAACTGCCCCTGTGGATCCCGCCAGTTATTGGAGAACCCAAAGTGAACTTCCCCCGGTCCGAGAACTCCATATGGGTCTGCAATGCAGTACGCATAGGTCGAGAGCGGGACCTGGATCTTGAGTTCTTCGACATGTCGCCCAAGAAGCCATGTCAAGTATTTGCGGATCTTCATCCGGAGGGGAAAAAAGTCGCGTGGGGCAAAGCCAGCCTCCGAGAAACGGATGATGGATTCCGCATCACTAGTCACCCACTGCTCTAATCGTCGTGCTTTGCCAGTTCCATCCTCGCCGGAGAGTCTAAGCTTCTGGAGTAGGGCTCGACAAACCACAGGACTGTTTGACCGGAGAACTTCCAGGAAGTCGTCATAAAGACTCTGCATACCGTCACGCGTGAGTTTAGCAATATACTCCTTTACATTCCCTCCATATTCCAGAATTGCAAGAAGCTGGATATTGAGGTCAACAGGGTGCAATGGCTTAGCCCAGTTGACTACTTCAAACGTCAACTTCTCCTCGTCAACTGGGTCAGCCCATTCCCGTGGATGAGGGTGTATTTTCAACTGTGAGTCCGAGATCTGAATCCAGATGCCATCGTCGTTCAAGGAAGTAATACTAGACCGGTGGCAATCAACCATCCAGAGGCCCTTAGCACCTGCCATTCTGCCCTGGAAGCAACTAGGCGTGGCGGTGGTTATGCCCAATTGATCGCAAATTTGGTTCGCAAGAGTCCTCGAAATCAAAGCACATCCATCATTCATGGCAGTGCGGGTTGGATCATCTCTCAAGCGAAGCACTTGCGTTGGCTTTAACTTGACTGTCGCAAACGTCTTCGATAAGCCTAGAGATATACGCTGGAAGAGCTTACAATTGCTTTGATTCGCATTCGCAGTCTTGGGCATATGCCATTCCAGCAAAGCATCTACACTCATCGGAGTATAGCTGTCATTTTGCTGTCCAGGAGGGGCCACCACTGGGGTTATCTGATACCCGTGATCGAAGTCGTCGCCATCAATGGCGAACAGCTCAACCCGAAACCGAGACTCACCCTTGACTTTTCGCTTGGTCTTTACTTCTTCGACATAGAAAGCTCGCCATGTTCGTCCGAGGAGATAATGATCATTCCTTGTGAGCCAGGAAGCAATGCTCTCACGAAGGACTGATGGGTAAGAAGGTTGTTTCTGATGGGTTGGAGGCTGATCTGGGGCTGGAATGGTAAGAGTGAGGAATCTATCAGATCCAAATCTTCGGTGGAACCGACACGTCTGCTCTAGCTTGAGCGGGTTGAGTCTCAATTTGAAAATACCCGGCTCAGACTGATTACACCAGTTCAATTCTCCTGACAGTATCACTACCTCTGAGTGCTTATCTGATTTGAAATTACCAACAGCTGCATCCCAGGCCCGGCGTGGCGATTTCTCTGGCAAGGGATGACCATAACGTCGACCAAGTCCGCCGACCCACGACCAGAAATCATCTTGGGTGTTGAAGGTAATACGGTTGCCAACGAGTATTTGCTTGAAGGGAATTCTCCACGCGCGTCCGATGCGTTCTAGCTCATATCGGAATCGCAACGGAATTGTCGCTGAGAAGGATTCTTCTGCCGAAAATGGGCCATAGGACAGGAGTTCATCAACAAACTCCTGTTTAAGGGAATACTCCGTCTCTGCGGGGTCTCCATTTACCATCATAGAGATAGCAGCAGCATCCACACTCCTTTGCATCTCGTCGCTAGCCATATACCCGACGACGGAGTCTGCATATGTCGATTGCGTATCCATTGGCTCAGTCATGTCTGTCATGACGGTATCAAATGATTGCTCCATGCTAGTATCGCGAGACATAAACGCCGACGAAGTAATCGTGGTTGAAAATCTGGTGTTGGCTGAATGCACCATATTGTTACGCTTCGATTCATCGGATGCTGCACTAAGCTTTTCAAATAACGTAGGCTTCTTAAACCCAACATCTTCCTCAGTAGGAGAACTTTCTTTGTTGAAGCTGCTGCCAAACCCAAATGATCGAAGATCCATCTGTTTCAACGGCGATTGGGAGGGTGATTTTTTGGCCGATGTTGGGGTTTTAGATGGAGATCGGACAGATCCAGGGTTCCTCGCGGGTGATTGGGCAGCCACTAGAGTCTTTGCTGGCCACGAAGTGCTCGTTGATTTCCTCGTCGGAGTTGGAACATTGCCTTGAGGCTTGGGTTGTGATTTAGTGACCACTTCCCAAGGGAGCGAGTGGTGATTCCCTTGGCCCTGCACGGGTTGTACCTTCGCTGGCGGAGGGAAGGTCATCGAATACTTGGCCGGGGAATGGTAGTCCCTTTTGTTATGTCCAGGCAACTGAATGGGTCCATCGTTTCTTCCAGGAGACGGATGAACTAGAATTTTTGCTGGCGATGCAATTCCCACCGGTCCCCGCGCAGGAGACTGAATTGTTCGATGACTACTAACCGGCAAACTGGCAGTCCCAGAGACCCTCCAAGATGATCCTTGGAAGGCAGTTTGTACCATCTCTCCATCCCCGTTCTTCCCCAAAGGGGACTGAGCTAGCACAGATCCTTTCACGGGGGAGTTCGGTGCGGTGTGAAAGTGTTCGTCTTCATCTTCATTATCAAGCCTTTGTTTTTTTGGTGATAAGCCCTGAGCATCTGCAATAGAATTAGCCGCAAACCTTTTTTTCGTGTTTATCACACGACCATTTGCCAAAAGATATTCCTCGTCTTTCATAAGCGCTAGCAGCTGCTTCATACACATGTCCTTCTCGGGGCCAGTAAGCGAGAGCGGAAGCGCGGGTTCCTCGCTCTGGTGTCGTTGGCTTGCCCGACGATCTGCATCGGCCCGATAGTTAGGGTTCTGGGCATGGCCAGGGCCGGCCAACGGCAGGTTCCCGCGGACCCATTCTTCGAGGTTGCCAATTAGACTTCTCTTGTCAACCTTGTTATTGAAGAACAACGGGCGGATATGCTTGTAGATCTGACTGGGGAGGCTGGTATTTCTCTCTCTTGCCAAAGGGGATTCAATCCCAGGGAGGGGAATCTCGAGGCCAAATTTGACGTTCACTCTTGTGATAAAAGTGCGGAAATCCTCCTTTTGATGTTGAGGGGTAGTGGGATAAACCATGTTCGTGTGAGGAATTTAGAGTAAGGAGCTTTCATTCAACCCAAGAGAAAGCACGGATACTGTTCTGTTGGAGCGTTGGAAGAAAAATGATGACCAGGTCCGACTGCATCCGAGGGTTCTTTTGTTAGTCTCATGCGAAGGCATGGGGGGGTATAGGTAAACAAACCGCAGATGTATTGGGATTCTTATGAATAGTGTTACAATAATCGGGAATGAGGAACTGAGGGGGACGAGGATCTTAAATCAGCAGAATGTCTTACTTGACTCGTCAACCTTGGAAGTTCTACTACTCCGTATATGGAGCAAGTCCACGGGTGGTTGCTGCGCAAAAGAACTGTTTACCCGCGCCAACTTCGGGTAGCTGCTATTAGCGTCCCCCACTTGACCTGTCACCGCACCAATTATACTATTTTACATATCAAGGATTCGGGGCTCCATATGGAGTGGTGTCTTAGATGTTTCCAGGTCAATCACACAGACCCTGCTAAGAATTGAGAAGCATGGGTTATTCGGCAGGGCATACTGGATACTGGACGAAGAATGGAACTTGAAGCTAAAGTTCGTACCTAAATGTAGGCACAGAATAGACATTCAGGAGAATATAGTGAATAGTAATTGCTTTTTCCCCGTTGATCAACAACGACGATCGAGAACCTTGGACCCCAAGGACGGACCAGAATGGCCCATAGAATGATAGCTTCAATCACCGGTTTCCTTCAGCTGTGGCCCTCTCCTCTCTCATTCTCCGGCTCAATCTTGTCTGTCCATAGATCAGCCTCCTTGGGGTCAACACGTTTACTATGAACAGCGAGCTTGTAGCCAACCATCAAGATGATGTAGACAGGAATGCTGATATACGAGGCAATGAAAGATTTGACGTCGAACGTCCGAACACCTGCGTCGAAACTGAAGGAGTCGAAGACAATGGTGACAGAGATGAACAAACAGAGAATGAGAGCCAAACATGTTCCAGGCAGACCGAATCGAGCTCTAAAGGCTAGAGCTTTGTCGGGAATGCCTTGAGCTTTTCGTGCTCGCACAAAGGATATATGGGTGACGAGAATTGAAATCCACGTGAGCAACCCGAGCATTGTAACCATATCCACAAAGTATCCAAAGACAACAGTTGAGTCTTGGCGGACGTTAAGATATGCCAATGTTGCAATTGACGAGCACACAGCCAAAGCATAGATCGGGACGCCTCTAGGGGTAGTGCGTGATAGGAAACCAGGGGCACGGTGCTTCACTGCAAGATCGCACATTGCCTTGGTTGCCAAATAGAGATCGTAGTCTGCGATTGACAGGACGAACAACAGTATGCATGCATTCAACAAGTCCGGTAGCACGGATATGCCTGCCAAATATAAAGCTGCAACAAATGCTGATGCGGCAGCCTCGTGGGAGGCATCAGTAGAAAATACCACAGTAGCCGAGTCCTGAGGGACAATCATCCCGAGAAGAGTGATTGCTAGCAGGTGAAAGACCATGATTCGATAAAAGGTATTCTGGATAGCCCTCGAGGTAGCCTTTCGAACGTTCGGGAAGTGAGCCATGCCAGATCGCTCGCTTCCGATGTACGCAAACGTGGCAGATGACATCGTCGAGCAGGTTATGTAGAACTTCTCCAGCAACGCGTTATCATGATGGGGCTTAACGCCGAAAGCACCGGGGTACGACCCATATCGAAATCCTTTGATATCTTGATCTGGGCCCCCTCCCAAGGCAATGACGGTGGAAAGTATCATGAGTCCAAGCATAACGACAAGCTTGAATGAAGAGACATAGAACTCGATTCTGCTCGGGAGGCGGTGATTGATGAAGTTGAGAGTCACAATGACCGAAAGGAAAACTGTGATCCAGATACCGGGATTAACTCGCTCCGCACTGACCCAATACGAGACTACCAGCGCTGCGGCTGTGAGCTGGTTCGGTGTGACAACAGCATATTTCAGCCAAAATCTATGGGCGTGGTCAGAAATCGGAGCAAGTGAAACGCAGCTCTCGTCGCGAAGGAGGACTTACATCCAGCCCAAACTGAATCCGAGTGCAGGATGACAAAATCGAACGGCTTGATCTGCGACGGTATATGGTTTCGGTAACCATGAACCCACCTCGCCCAAGGCGGAGAGGACGAGGTAAACGGCGAATCCGACGATGGTGTAGGAGATTATTATAGCTGCCGGCTATAACAGATCAATATCTTCGACAGTGAGGCTCCTAGAGAATGACTTACGCCGCTCCTATGTTGGAGTCAACGTCGTTCAGCATCGAAGAGATTCGCAGGATATGAGGAACCAATCTTACATGGACAATGCTCTGCCAGTACCAACCATCAAGCCCGTTCCAATTGCCGATCCGATGGCTGGAAGCCCGTGTTAGAATGTAGAACCTCGTACAGGGTGGGGGATACAGACTGATGATGCTGATTTGACGGGGTGTCAATGACCCGTATATATCAGTGAAGCCCAGAGCATGCTCATTCTGATGAACTTCCGGGGTAGTTTGTGAAGTCGGTGGCTCATCGCTGATGGGCCCCAGTTCGCAGGTAGAGGTTCGCGATCCCAGTCGGCGTCGGGGAAACATTTCCTATGGTGTATTTTAAAAACAAAAGTACGAATTTCTGGCCGACGGGACTAGGTAAAGCAAAAAGTTTGGTACCAGAAACGTGAATCAACGCGAATCAAAGATTAGAGATCGAGCGAGCAGCCCAGGGATGACCCGGGGGCGGGGTGATAATAGTTGTGCAAGTGCGAGTATGGGAAAGAACGAAGCACAACTGGTTGGGATCATAGATGATTGGGATATATTTTCTATATGCAGAAATCCCATCATGGGACAATCGAAATTGAATGGCATGAACAAAAAAATAGAAGCATTTCCTATGCCAGCCCTAAGGATTGCCACCAAGCCCATCGAGGAGGCATCAAAAGTAGCCAGCGTCTATCAAAGGCCATAAAATCACAAACGCCCAAAAAAGTTGTCGACACCCCCCAAAAAAAAAGCACCAGTCGGTTGCATACTGAGTTCCATAGCCCCGTCAAATGGGGTCAGAGGGGGAGGAGAGAGATGTCATGAAAGTCTTTGTCAAATATTCCCAAATGGCAGCGGTTCGGGGCAAGGCGTTTGTCTAGAACGGTCGCTTCCTGGGTGAGGCGGAGAGGTAACGCGAGATACGTAAAAGGGGTTCCTATTCATCAATTCATCGCGACATGAGCGAATCGCTCGACTCCGTGCGGGGGAATATGCGCGTGTAGAGGGAATCGCTGGACTCGGTACGTGGGAAGTGTCGTTGGTGCTTCCGTGAGATCACGCGATCGGTGTAGACACCCTTGGCGGCACCACGAATGACCGACTCGAGATATTCGCGGAAATCTGTAGGTTGGAATTCGGGGTACAGGTCCTGTGTAGTGTGGTAGCCGAGATACTTGGCGTACTCGGGGTTGTTGTCGCCGCGGATTCCCCAAGACAGCTGATATTCGGCCAGGTATCGCGGAATGAACTTGATTGGGTCGAAGGGGTAGGTTTCACTGGCTTGTCGGGCCGCCACGACTCTGCTGCAGATGGTTTCTTCGGGAATCTGTGCTCCGGAAAAAGGAAAAACGGTTAGCTACATTGACTCATTCCGAGTCAAGAGTCCGTGCAACTTACGTAGTTGCGATCGATCTTCTCCTCGCTGAGTTCCTCCATGAGCTCATAGATCTTGTTTTGCGAGGAGACCAGGTTGTAGGCGAGGATCTTCTTGTTCAAAGTGCGGGGGTCGGAGATGATCATAGCCATGTAGCGACCGATGTCTCGCAAGTCGGTCAGTGCTGTGGGCATGTTGCCATCACCAATAATTTCATCGTTGCCAGATGTCATGGCATAGTCGACACGGCCGGAGGGGAGGCGGGGGTAGGCGAGCTGGTACCACCAGCCGACATCGACGACGGTGTAGGGAAGCCACAACTGGCGGATCTGGTTGTAGACGATTTCTTTCTGTGCGTAGCAAAAGACTGATCAGCCCACTGACTTGAAATTACCGTGCCACATTGCTCATACCTCGTCACGCAACCACATGATACCACCCGGTGGGCAGACGGTGATGAAACCACATGGAACGAATCGCTTCACGCCAGTCTTTTTGGCAGCCTTGGCGAGAGGGATCTGGTCCTGTTGTTCGGCAGGACCGACACAGCTGATAACCACATCAATACCAGCCAACGCTTCGATGAGTTGCTCCTCTGGGGCCTTCAAGTCGCATTTCCGAATCTGGCATCCCCGATCCTGGAGGCGCGTGATAGCTGGCTTTTGGGCCGAGATAGGGCGAACAAGAGCGATGACCTCCTATATAGCGAAAATCGAAGCAATTAGTCTGGGGTCAATTGGTAGGCCTGAAAGCTGGACTTACAAAGTTACCGGTATCCAACAATCCGTTGGCGATAGAACCTCCGGTTTCACCCGCTGCTCCGACGAGCAAAACCTTGGTGGACATAATAAATCAAGTTAACCAAAATCGAGGATGGGTTGGGGGTCAAGTAAGACGTAAAAGGTAGGATTTGATGATGGAGGGGGAAGATCAAAAGGAAAGAGAGAAAGAGAAGCAGGGATTGGGTAACAGGTTTAGGACCTGACGACGTTATAAATTCCCAAAGGCTCAACCCACTTTCTCATCCGCAGCAGTGGGTCGGTGGATGTTCGTTCCCCTCGTTTTGAGGGGGAGATTTTTTTTCTTTCTTTTTTTCAATCTTGTGATTATTGCTCATGACTACTGATATTTTAACAAACATATATATTACTTTTCTATTCTGGTTTATATATACATATATATATATTATAAAACTCTGTTATATATATTCTGTAACATATACAGTCCGCCTTCACATCTTTACGGGCCGGTGATTCGGGAAAACCCTAATAGGTCGGCGACGTTACGTCATATGTTACGGCTTCCCGGTCAAAGGAGAATGGAATAATAATGATGTTGGGTGGCTATAGTATACAATAGAAACAATGTTATATATATATATAATTATATACACAATATGTAAAGCATTCATTTGAACCTAAACATATGTCTTTCCCTCCGATCAGGAGATGATGGACTGCCTCATTAGTTTGATCCGAAAGTACCTCGGAGACCCGTCAATCTTGTAGCTAGCAAGGACCCCTTTATGCCCCCTTGTTCGCCGTGCAGAATCTTGAATATCAACGTCACAAATCCCGATCTGCGTGGTCACAGCTCTCAAGTCAGGTTTCATACAGTCCCGTGGACGAGAGTGACGAAATGGCAAGGATTAGTCATTTGGGTTTCATTGGTGGCGCAGCGCCTCCTAAGAAAAACGGGGGGTTTGGGGGGCTTTGGGGCACCAATCATGGAGGGTTTATGGAGAATCCCTAGGGTTCCTATATGTTGGATACTACACGGGCTAATTGCTTGTGATCTCCCAAGACTGAGTCTTGGAAACCTTGGGAGTTGGTCAACGATAACCTTGTAATGGGCTAAGGAGGGGCGCAGCCACAACCGGGAGATCTGTGCCTGGCGTGTTTCCCCCTCCTTTTCCAACGGTATCAAAAGTCCAGTTCAACTTTTTGAGCCTTGGAACACTTTACTTTCCTTGTTCGCCTGCATCAATCTCTAGGATTTGGTGGGGTAAAGTTGCTCGAGTTTGGGGATTCTTCCCAAAGAAGTAACCAAAAGGGAAGATCTCGGGTCCGTCTGGTAATTTTCGCGGGGAATGCAGCACGATGGCACGGCCTAAGCATGGTGATGTTCTGGGCCCAAAACTCTTCTAGCCAATGTCATCACGCCGAAAATTGATCGTCGTTATGGGCGGCTAGTTGAAAGAAATGGCGAAAAGACTGGGGAATTGGAGAACTAAGAACTAGGCAAGGGCCAGCAAACCAGGAGCATCCGAGCAAAATTCAATTCTCGAATTCCTTTTGACTTCCCGAGTAATATGCACTGCAGACCAATAATGCCTCATAGCAGATCGACCCCAGCTTGGCCTCGGGCTGCTTTCATTTCAGCCGTTACTAGTCCAGATTAGGGTACAAAGTACCTAGGTACATACGCCTTGACGTTTTTGATTGTGACAAATTCCATTACTGCACGTGAGCCTATACGTTACCTATGTATAGATTCACTGAGAGATGTCGGCATACCTTCTATACGTCACTCTAACAGAATGAGCAAAATGATCCTGGAAATATCTATTTTGTTATTGCTTGGTGATGAAACTCGCCATGATTTGGATGCTGGGGGCCACAGGCTTAAGGTGCAAATAGGCAAGATCAAGCCTAGGAAGAAATTGATTATTTAGGGTCAAAATTTATTCTTCAAGTTCTTCGGGATTTGGGATCTACGCTTATTCTACGCTGACCAAAACTCCCAACTGGTCTGCGGTTCTTTCTTTTCGATGGGACACCAACCGTCGGTCATTGTGGTTAATTTGGCTTCCTCTTCATAGAATGATACGCATATAATTTTAAATTATTATTAGACTACAGTCTACTAGGTATATTGTTAACTTCACTTATCTTTCGCATCATATCACAAGATTTTCACGGTTGGAGAAACATGTAGGGACAGTATTAATACCGGGAGAGGGCGAGATCGACAAGGGCTAGGTATATTTCGCTTTTCATATGGGTAGGCATAAACAGGTCTCATCCCCATCTCCCTTGCTCTCTAAATTATCTCACCTTCGCCCCAGTTTGGTTTTACCTCTCTCATACTACTCTCTCACTCTCTCACTCTCCCTCCTCGATACCTCACTCACACAGACTATCATCCTAAACCCATATACATATATACATATGTACACTTCGTTTTATTTATATGCAGTGTTGTCAGTTTTATTCAAGTGAGAGTAGATACCTTTGATGATATTTTTCTCTAATAGAACCTTTAAATGGCTATACAGTAGTACCCGGCGAAGCGTTTAAAAAGGCCTCATGGCGTGCACCTTTTTCTCTGGCAATATCCATAATCTCCTCCTCTGTCAGATGCGGTCCGCATGGCTCATACCTGCAAGTCCTAACATGCACGCCCTTGTAGAAAATTTTGACTGTCCGCATTCTCTGTTCTTGTCTCTCGTCCATGATCTCAGCCCACCGGGCTGTCACTTCCGCGAGGTGTTTCGCTCGCCTTCTTTCTCCTATCCGCCATGCTGCAATCTGGTGGCCGATAGAGTTGCTCGGATCATGCCTCCATCCCACACCCCAGTCGGGGAATTCTGCAAGTGCTGTCTCGTCTTCGGCAGCGCACCTCCACTGCCAGTGGTTTAGTGCCCTAATATCATTCTTTGAGCGGCATAGATTAAGGATACTTCGGGGAGCGAGGTAGTGTTGGCGGATGTGGAAGTCCACTTGATAGTGGGCGAAAAGAACGGTGGCTTCATCTATTGGCTTTTTTGACTCAGCCTCGGCCTTTTTTAGAATGGTATCAATCTTGTCGTAGTAGCGTTGTTGTTGGGCGGGCGTAATATCATCCCAAAATGTTGCATTGTTATTCTGGTGGACTAATATGTCTGTGTCGAAGGGGGGTATAGAATCATTATCTGGTGTGCTTTTGTTGGCAAAGAAAGGTGGGTATTCCGAGGTGATATATGATCCGGCAGCAATGTCTGCATTTAACATGTATGGAATAATGTGCAGATCTCCACATTCGGTGCATTCGAGGGCATCCTGTAGAGCGGCGTTTTGCGGTGACTTGGACTTATCAGCAAATGGATCACATAGGAGCTGGTTGCTAGTGAGTAATCGTACAATCTTTTCCTTGGCAGCCTCTGTCCAGTTTTTCCTTGGTGTTAATTTGCGCTTGGTGACGCGGTTTGTATCTGGTATAGGAATTCCCATGGTGAATGGTTGCGTGAATGCCCGCGTGGTAGGGTTAAAGAGATAATTTGAATGAGGTATATGGAGAGTTTTTTGATCTGATAGAGGGACGAGAAAGGTGTGAGTGAAGAGTGATGCTGTTTGGCATGCACTTATACAATGTGTCAAAGGCCTTTGTGTCGATGTCGTGGACAAAGGAATAGAGAAAACAATAGATTCCATAATTCTAATTTAAATCAGGATCAACAAAAGATGCTTAGTATTAGACCCATTGATTCGAGTCAAAGAAAGAAAGCAAGAGGGGGTAAACAATGAATAGTGGAATACAACGAGATAGTTGGATATCCAAGGAGCCAACGTGTATGGGAGAGCTGTAGCATCAATCTAAATATAGGAAGCATTGAGAGGGCTCTTTCCAAGGGGTTTGCTATCCATGGATGACTTGTGGGCATGAAAGGTCATCTGGGGAAGGTGCAACTGAACCCCAGCGTGACTGCCCAGGTGGACATTGTGAATGAACATCGTGACTCTAGATCATTAGGTCAATACTTGTGTCTGTAACAATTTTGCAATTTAATTTGGGTATGTGTCGATATCAGTGATCGACTATACCTAGGTAAATACTCGCTATCTTGTTGTTTATAGGCACATTGATATTGGGTTATATTGCTCTGGGGGTGAACTATAGTAATATAATGAAAACATGTTTAATATCGACAGGTCTATCAGCCTATTGTCCAAATTCACAACAACTGTAAACGCAAGTTTGTGTTCCTCTTCGCTTTACTTCTTCTTCTGGCTCCTCTCCAGATCTTCTCATCCTCGTTAACGCGCGTTCACTTCTAGAAAATCCGCAATCAACAAATTCATTATGGCGGAAGCTTCTCTCGCCTTCCCGATGATTTGCCTCACCCTCTCATTCCTTTTTGTGGTTGCCGTCTACCATCCCTCGATTATGAGGTACCTCGGCGCCTTCTGCAATCGCATTATCCTGCTCGCGTACCAGCAAATTGCGCGCAAGCTCCTCAACCGTAATGCGATCAACCAAAACCTCATGCCCGAGGTAGGGTACGAGGCACTCCACCTCGATACCGAAGATGAGGAACGAGAAAGTCCGTCACCCCTCGCGACATCATCCACCCAAACACCTGACTACTATCGACACGATGAAGACCCTGCTCCCGACACATTCGACATCCTTCCAGAAAGCGATAGCGAGACAGAAATGGGCGCTCTCAGAAGGACCATCAGCTATGCTGGAGGCCCATACCGTCCGCGACGCTGGTCAGCCTTTGCCGAGCTGGCTGCCTTCTCCTCCACCCGCAGCCATTCACACAGTCCTTCTGGATCTTTAGTGTCCTCTGACGAGTATGACTCTGAATGGTCCAACTCCGCTATCAACGAGGCTGTCTTCGAGCCACGCAACCGAACCGATGAGATCCCCATCTGGGAATTCGAACTCGAGCGTCCTGTTTATAACGTTGATAGCGAAGATGAGGATGGAGGACCGATGGTCTGGCTAGATGAGGTTGTCGAGTGGACATCACAGGGAATCTTCGCTAGGGTTTCTCCGGATATCATGGATCGACAGAGATGAGCAGCAGATCAAAGTTCTGAGGGACAGATACAAAATTCACGGGCTTGGCAGAATGTCCGAGCACATGATGAGCTGAGCTGAGCTGAGCAATGAACTACCTTCCTATGTCACTATTCAAGATGACCTTTATGAAACCAACGTCATTTCAATCTGAAAGTTTCACTCTAGGAATGTATTTATGTTTCTGGGTATCTCGTAGGTTGTAGGTGGTATGGTAGTATGATCGAAGCAATAGGTCGACTCGGTCACATCCGTCTATGAGCCCTGTCACGCGTAGATCGCATTTCAGATGTCATTGGCGGGGCTTATCAACGCCACGCAAGGGATCGAGTCATTTCTTCCGACCAGAATACCCAGGATTCGGACATAAAGGTTTGTACATGAGATGGTCTCATAGCGTCATTGGCTCGGCAATCGCGCACAAACGGAAATTTGACTGGCCGTGCTGGTAATGGGAGGTGCTTCCGTCGGGGTCTTGCATTGGTGTGTTTTGGGCACCATCTTACCTTACCGGTCATTCATGATCCCTGCGTACTGAGTGGGGAGAAATGTTGCAAATACGATATTTTGATCTAGACTTGTCCATTTGTCCATCTGGTCTGTTTTTATCATTATGTTCGTCTATCATCACGTTTTAAATCAAAATCGCTGACATCAATATCTCCGAAATTTACCCTCCAGTCCAAAAATCCTGCTTTGTCTTTTATCCCGCTGAGAGAGAACTTAGGGAGCGCAGTAGCCACCATCGATAATGAGGTCGGCCCCGGTAGTGTAGCTGGAAGCATCGGAGGCAAGGTAGAGGTAGGCACCCTTCAGCTCGTGGGCTTGGCCCTCACGGCCCATGGGGATCTTGTCGCGCCAGATATTCTTGGTATCCTCGGCCACAAAGCTGGATATCTCAGTCGCGATGTAACCGGGGGATATGGTGTTGGCGCGAGCATAGCGGACCCATTCGACAGAAAGCGACTTGCCTGGGAAGTTGTTAGCAAGGTAATAAAGCTGATGGTGTCTAAATAACAACTTACAAAGATGGATGACGCCAACCTTAGCAGCGTTGTAGGCTGCTTGCACTGGGGGAAGTTGACAATGTGACCGCTCATAGAGGCAGTAGCAACGAAGCTTCCATATGTGAAGTTGGTGAGCTTGTTACCATTGGCATCAGTGCCCTCCTCTTTCTGGCGGCGCCAGTGATCAGCAGCAGCCTTGGCGCAATAGAAGGTACCGTCGAGATCAATGGAGACGACATCGCGGTAGTGGTCGAGGGGACCGTCTACCATGGGGCCCTGAGTCCAGGGAACACCGGCGTTCGCGATAAAGACGTCGAGGCGGCCATTGAAGTCCTTGACGACGTCGTTGACGGCCTTCTCTACAGCGTTTGCGTCGGTGACCTGAACCTGATAAGCCTTGGCTGTGAGAAATCGAGTTAAAATTATGTCGAGCCAATCACATTGTGTAGGTTCGTTACACACTCTGAACGCCGTATTGTTCAGCGATCTCAGCAGCCCTCTTGATACACTTAACATTGCTATTGTACCACATGGCCACATTGGCACCAGCCTCTGCAAGACCCTGAGCAACGGCCAAACCGATACCGGCACCAGCACCGGTAACAATGGCAGTCTTCCCCTTGAGGGAGAACATGCTCATGAGGCTGGGGTGCTCAGGAGCAGTGGTGTTGTTGTGGACAAAGAGTCCATTTTTGGTAATAGGGTTAGCAGCCATTATAATAATAGAAGAGTAGGCAGAGATAAAAGAAAAGTGAAAGTGAGAGGCAGATGCAAGGTCGGGCGACCTTAAATATGAAGCTTGTGAGGGGCAACTCTAGAAATTCCAAGATGATAGACGGTGAGTGATGCGCTGGCGGGGAAATCGGACCAGACCGTGGCCTTCCCTATGTATAGGTTGTGAGGAGGTGTGTTGCATTGTGCTTTGATGACACTGGTTATTATCCATAGTGGAGAATGGCAATATGCGCCCCAGATAATAATTTCACATAGAATGAGATACATCATATTTTTGTGTGGTCAGATACACCTGTTTTAAAAAGTCAGATCTGTCAGTTGAAGAGAGGGCTATACTCATCTGGGCATCCTCCCCCTTCCACATGAGGCGGTGAAAGTGAGAACTGGCGCACCTTAGGCCGTTTAACACGAAACATACACTCTACCCTTCCCTAGAAACGTACTGTCCAAGGCTTCAATGCGGATTGAAACCTATAATTCAAGCTACAGGGGACGAGTCTACTCCAAACGAATGCTGACTTGCCCCTTCTTCTGGGGAATGGCCAAGGATGCCGAAATCGCAAGGAAACTTAACCCCAAGGGGACGAGATTCATACTAATTCCCGATCGCAGAAAGGAGTACAGATGCTTGTGCTGACTTTTAAAAAGTAGGAATGACTGGAAGCTATAGAGAGATTCAAAGCTCTGCTACTAGTAGGATCCAACTGAACTCGAGAATTATGCACGCAAGGGGTAATTATCATGGGCAATGCATTATCACTCTATACAAAATAATCCAACGCAAACCCAACTGCACATCTATTACGTATACTAATCTATATTCCAGTACTAAGAAGCAATCTAGTTGGGATCTAGTTGGGATCTAGTTGGAATCTAGTTTGAATCAAAATGGATCACTTATCCAGACAAGAATAGGGTTGGTCAAGGAGGCGCACTGATCTTGTTGATCGCCGGAGTATCATCAAAGGCGACCAGTGGAAAAGCGTCGTGTATGGTTGAATACTTTATTGGATTTGATAGCCATCCATCTAGTGATTAGAAATATGTCTAAAAAAGCGCCCTAGATTCCATCGACCCAAGCTGTCAAATTAAGACGCGGAAAGAGCACTTGACAGATCAAGTATAAACCGGGATTGATTAGGACACTCAACACCCATTCGAACCACCCAACAATGGTCCTTGAATGTGTCAATGTCCCGCTCGCATAAATCATATTCGGTGGCGTTGTCACAGTTGAAACGAGATCGAAGGGGGTAGTGTGGCCGCCAGCATTCTTTGCACCGGGTGGTGATGAATGAGCATTCCTCGGCTGGAATCAATGTTCCCATAACAAATGGTGGTCCCTTGATGGAATGCTAGGAAATCTTGTTGTTTCTTACTCTCGTGAGAATTTGTCGTGTTCCATGAGGGTGAAGTTTCCAGCTCTGTGAAGCCTCAGTGTTGCCATTTTGATACAGCGAGTAACCGCCACATCGCATGTTCGGCACCAACCCGCTACTTACGGATGAGGAATTGAGAGGACTTTCTCCGCCAATTGTGCCTATACAGCCTCGGAATCAGCCCAGTGGCACAGCAAGAAGGCGACCATGCTGGCACTGCCCGCCGTCATCGCCATAGCCGCTTGCGGCGCCGCCATCTTCATTGCCCTCTCGGTAGTCGGCATCGTTGTTTGGGTCAGGTATCGTAAAGAGCGCCATGCAATGAGGCTGATGGGCTTTACGCAGAGGCCCGGACGACGCAGTCGAGCCTTGCAATCTTACCCGGTGGATACCTTGACTGAGTTGAGCCGGGCAGAAGGGAGCATATTAAGAGCGCATGGGCAGCTTCCATATGGCAAACCATCAGAATGGGGACAATTAACGTCAAGAGAGAGTCTGGATCATCTGAAAAGCGAGTCGGTGGCATCTATTCCACTCGCTGAGAAAGCACGATCTCTCCGCCATTCCCTTTCTCGATCTCGTTCCAAGCGCTTGTCACGATCATCCCACAAACGCATGGGCTCGTTGGGTACATTGGGTACATTGAGTGAATCAAATCAACTTCCCAGTCCACCATCTAAAGCGAGAATATCAATATCAAAAGAAGACGTCCCACTTTCGGCTGTCGAGGGGGTTTTGGAATTGCCAGCAGAGAGGACTCCAACACAAACACCAGATCCCAACGAAGATGATACTGGATTCCATCTAGGTATGAAACCAGTTTCACCTGGATGGCCCTTCCCATTACGGGATCGGTCCAGCCTCTTTCCTGTTTCAGAGGACCGTAACTCGTCTGTGTTTGATTCAAATACTGAAGAGTCTCCTACTCGTCTGCGTGGAGGAAGTATTGCTAGTCAAACAGCCGGGATTATGCCCGGTCATTCGATACCTCCCCCTCCTCCCCCGGCTGCATTTCCCCCCGACAGATTTAGTTATGCTAGGAATGACTCTGTGATGAGACTTTCCTCCATGAGTCTGGATACTACCAATAGCTCAATTTTGGATGAAGGGAGGAATGGTCCTAGGTCCGCTGATACTGATATGACCTCACCCACTTTCCCCTCAGGCACCTCTGTACCTTTCAGTGCTGCCGACGTTGGGGTCAAAGATGGTCGGAGGAGTTTCATTGCCACCAACACCTCCATCCCCCCTATGCATAACTTCCCTGTCCGCTCCTATTCGACAACTGAAACTCGTCATAAATCTGCATCCTTGTCACCTCGGCGAAGTTTGACCACTCACCACTCTGGTGCTTCCATCGATCGATTTGGTGGTGCTCCACGTCGAACTGATTCCATGTCTTCAACTAATCCCCCTTCACGACATCCCTCTCGGCGATCTGGAACTCCCGTGGGGCGTTTAGGATATCAACATTCAGCCCCGTCCTGGCGATCCTCGGGCTCTCACATGCCATCTGGACCACATGGCAATCAATATCAAAACAGTACAGGCTACGAAAGTGACGAAATGGAGAATGACCCCTTCTACGTTGGCTCGCCGGGGGGTGGGACTCTATTCCACCCGGTTAGATCACCAGGAAACGCAGGCAATGCTGCTAAGCCACCAAGCCCGATGCAGCGTAGCAGTCTCTCTCAAAAAGGCAATCTTACCTCTGCACTAAAGGGTGGAAATCCCCAACGCAAGGGCCACCGACGTCAAAACTGTGTTCGTATTTCTATCCATCCACCCATGACATTTGGGTCATCGACATTCTCTCCTACCGTCGAAGAGGAACCAGAAGACTTCGACAAGATGGAGGAGCTCGATCTACGTGAGACTTCAATCAACAACCCGACTAAACTCTTGCCTTCGTGGCCACCAACTACTGCGTCTCCTCTATCCTCCTCCAGGCGCAGCAAGTATGGCAGTCGACATGGCAAGCCTGGCCTTGGATCTCTCGGGCCGCTAGTCGAGGAGCCTCTACCTCCAATGTACGATGACAGTCCTTGCAAGAAGAGAAACCGTGCTCCATCTACCGTGGGTGCCAATAAGCCCACATTCGGAAACAACCGCGCTCTTCCTGAGCTGTTCACATCTCTCCCCATGTCTCACGGCAGCTCTCTCACCCACACTCCATCCCCCGAAAGAACACCACCTGTCTGGGAAATGTCCAAAACTCCATTTGCATCCCACGAGAACTCCCCTGCCATCGGTAGCCCACGACGTTCAGCGGTAAAGGGGCCTCGCAAACAACCCGGAGTCATGCCAACTCGAAGACAGTCGACTTGCGGGCCCTTAACCTCGCAGAATGCACCAGAGAGTCCCTTGGCCTCTCCCAACCGCCTCCCTCTTGTCATGAGTATCACCGGAACAGAAGGTAGTGACTGGCGTAGATCCACAGACTCACTCCAACGTGCAAAAACCGATGCTCCAAATCCCTCATTCCGCCGTGATCGTGTTTCAATTTCCAGTCTGGACAACGGGCTAGGTCCCATTGGCGATTCTTCACTCCATGGCACCCGCCGGTCCTCAATGGTTCAAGATCATGTCACTATCTTTGAGGATTCTAACCAAACCACCTCCCCTCCTCAATCCTTAGTTCAGCCCCCAATTGGGTCATTCCGCACGCCCGAATCCTCCCCCATCCGTAGCAAGAACAATATCCCCCGTTCCATGCCAACCAACCAACAATTCCCGCCTCATATGTCGAGCCACAATGCACCCCCGACTCCTACTTCCCCCGTCGAGGGATGACTACTCCCACTAGCAAGGGACTTGGACTTGGCACTGCCACGCCTGGTAGCCTTTACGATGGCGACGGATTCCTACGGGAATAAGCTTGATTTTGCCGTGTCTTTTGTCCATTTTGAAAGCGACAGTTTTCTTTTGATTCATTTTGATTTATTGTGCGGTATTTGATACTGATGTTGGCGCAAAAGCTTCAGTGTCCCTTCCCTTCTACCTGTTTTTATTTGTTCAATTACTTCTTCTTATTTTTCTTGTTGCCTGGTGATCCATCTTTTCTCTTCTGCTTTCATGTTTGATGTGTGTTTTCTCAGGTTGATATTCATGAAACAGGAAATCGGTAGTAGAAATCCAATCAATTCTCTCCTATATTTTCTCAAAAATAGTAAACCAAAACCATCGGTAGCTTACTACGTAGCCAGTCAAGTATTTTGAACGCCGATCCTACACCGTGCATTTCATATTTCCCTTCAAATCAGTCTAATCCCAATCAATCCGTCTTCCGCCACTTAGTCTCATCGTCATCTCCATTCTCTTCAAATCCATTCTCCCCCTCCCGGGCCCTAACAGTCCCAGCTCCAGGCCCAAGCGGGAAAGAAGGCGGCTCGCCAGCAGCAATCCAATTCCCATCCGCATCAAAGAACTGATCCATGTTCTCAGCGGTGATCCACCCAGAGCTCCCATCAACAGGCGGGGGCAGATCACCATTTCCAAGCTGGAAGACTCCCTCATGCTCCCCAGCCGAAATGAACTTAGGCCCATCCTCGTCGTCATCCTCATCGCCCTGCTCGACAGGGTCGGGGTGTAAGTTCGAGCACGCCGAGACAGCATTGTAAAGCTGCTGCGTGGGTGTATCCGTCTCCGCCTCCACGGGCTCTTGTAGCGTGGCGTCGGCGGGCAGCACCACTGTCAGTGTGATGCATTCCTCTTCGTCGTCTTCCGAGGGCGCACCCGGCGTCGCGACCTGCATGTACAGACCCTGGACTTCGGCGTCGGTATCTGGGACGCGTAGCCGTTGGAGTGCGTGTAGTGAGATTGAGGGGTATGGGATTGACACGCCTGTTGAGGCGGTGGGGGAGAAAAGGAGGAACTTGCTGTTGAATGATAAATTTGGTCAGTCGGTGTCCTGGCCTTAAGATGGAAGGGGGAATTGATAGACTCACTCGGATGTCACCCAGACATCCACGCCTGAGATTGCGACCTCCTTCTCTTCATCGTCCTGGCTGGCGGCGCTGTTCACAGCATCTTGGTCGCGCAGGGCGTTCAGCGCTGGGGTGGCGAGAAGTTCGCGCTCAAGGATGACGATCTTGCAACGCTGGCTGTGGTGGTACAATACTGGGGGTCCGGAGTAGAAGGAGCTTGGGGTGCGCGACTGGTGTTCGGCCAGCGGCACGAATGAGGAAGCTTCAGGGGAGCTGCGAATAGCCTCCATGTTGTAGTATATGTGTGATTGCAAGGAGAGAGAAAATGGGTTGAATGATGCGACAGGGTGAGGTTGGGATGGAATGAAAAAGAGCTTCCGTCGCGGGGTGGAGCTTTTCCGAGAGCTTGGGAGAGCCGCAGTTCTAAGAAATATATATATTCATGTACATTTTTGTACATTTTTTTTTTGTTTAAATTTAGAAACATCAATTACGATTGTTATACTCCATAAAAATTTCAATGTTTATATACAGCATTATTTCCAAATATTGAGACCTTGGTATACTGTCTTTTAGCAATAATTACCTCCATGTAACGGTCTATAGTTAATATTGAGATACTTTGTAAACCACACGGGCAGCCAATCCAAGGAACGATTGCCAACTAATCCACCCCATTCATCTCCCAGCAGAACATAATCTTAGCGCCGAAAGTCAAAGTCCCACGGGAAAGCGAAATGTCGCAGACTCGGGGGTTATCCATTGCTTTGACAGGGGCTTAGAAGAGCCTAGCGCTGGAAGGACCCTAGAAACATAGTGCCTCCTTTAGAGACCTTATTCCGGCGATTGATTCACAGTGCCACATTGAGAATTCGGTTCCCAAGCACTCCTGTGATATAAAGAGCAATGAGGGATTAACTCTCTTGGAGGACCATCCTTCCTCATTTCACACCTAGACCACCAAACGCTCTATCCAACTCCTCTCCATCGTTATGAGGCACCATGCTTGGAAGTTGCGAAGAGCTCTGGTCAGGAGAAGAGCTATCCAGCAGGCTTGGATGGGCATCGCCCTGCGCGTCAGGGGACGTACTGATCCGGCTAGGTTGAAGGAGCTTTTCCTCGCGGTCGAGCCACCCAGGAGCCAGGCGTCTTTTTTCGGCTAATTCGCGTTGTTTAATCGATTCTTTCCATGCGTTGATGGCCTGGTCCGCGTTGGCGCGAGCCTTATTCAAATGTTGTTCGAGGGAGTTGCATGCGGCGAGGACGTCGTCTGGGTGAGCTGCGTGCCCACCGCTGGGGGAGACGACATAGCGGGATTTACCATCAGGGCTGCTTGGGTCGATTGTCACTGAGGGGGGTAGAGACGAGGGGACGGATTTGTACGTGTAGGGTAAGGTGACGGAGGTGGGGAGGTTGATGAAGGGTGAGACGGTCAGTGGGACCTGGGCGAGGAGAGGGTGTGGTCCTAAAATAGTGTTAGTTATCTAGAGATATATGCGCATGATAGAAATACTGACGATAGGAGTCGTACATGGTTGAGTTGTTGAAGATGAGGCTGATCAAGTGCGGAGTAGCGGAGTAACGGAGATGGCGTATCACGGCCCCCGGAGAGCCGTGGTAAACATTTGAAGCACAACATTCACATATTACGCATCAGTATGACGATCTACTAATGATTATATACAAAGATATACTAGCTATACACTTGGAAAATCAAAAGCTAGTAACTAAGTGGTAGATGGACTTGGTAAATGTGTTGGAATGCATACATATCAACACTAAAAAAGGAAAGAATTCGCAAGTCTAAAATTCCAACATACTTTCCTTCCCTAGGCACCGTCAAAGACCAAAAGGCTTTGGATATTGACGCCAAACCCATGCTGGTGCAACAGTTGTCGGCCACGATGAACAGGGAACTCGGCCACAACCATGATGCTGACATCAGCAATACCAACTTCACTTAAAAGCTGTAGCACTGCACAAAGTGTATTGCCCGTGGCTAGTACATCGTCCACCACTACTACAGACGCGCCTCTAGGGATCAAATCCAGTTCTATCTCAATCCTCTTCTCATTTGAATTGGATGTGTAAGAGATGTGAGATGTACTCTTGAGGACGGACATAGTGGGTGGGGGTAGCTTCCCAGCCTCGCGTATCAGCGCCCACGGGTACATCGACCTGCGAGACCAACGCGAACGCATAGATAAAGCCGCCAGCCTCACAGCACACTATCATATCAACTTTAGCCCAGTCGCCGGTGAAGTGAGTATGCGGCAGAGAAGTGCATCACGCGTACCAGTACCGCTCTTTCAGTTGCCGTTTAGCTCGAATGGAAACCGATGGATCTCAGGTGGCCTTTCAAGATAGGGTGGCGGGGACTCCACCTCTGATGTCGAGAAAAGCCATTTTTCTAATCTTGTAGAAAAAAGGTCATTGGGCTCAAATGCAGCATATCTCCGGACTTTTCTCCCAAGATGACTGGGCAGATATCCAAGTATGCTCTTCGGTCCAGGTCTCACTTCTAAACTGAGATATTGATACGCGAGTTAAATAGGGGAGCTAACATATCCAAAAGTTGAGGGATGATAAAATCTTGGTACGTCATCCACCCTGGTCCCCGTAGTAAGATATCGAATCCAGCGTCGATCTGTATGTCAAATAATTGCTGCTTCGGGCATGACCCCATCGCAGTGGCCTTTTGCCTAAGTACCCACTTGAGGGAGTTAATAGTAGCCATGTTAGTCTAGGTTGAGTAAAAATGACGAGAATGGTGGGTTTGGTCTTCATGGAAGCAATGAATTTTGACCAAGCACAAATTCGTTTATAGTTGGCGGCGGCTGGCAGCTGTGCAAAGCCACCTGTGGCTAGGCGTATATTGAGGGCAAACTACGTACATAAGTAAATTGCTACTCTCTCGGTCCATTAATTGCCAGAGATATTCCCATTTCCAACAAGCAGGCTTGCGTAGCGCAGGATTATTTCCCAGTAGACGATTACCTTGGATCCTGCAAGGTGTTGGTACCAATTAGCAGGAGTGTTCGTCATGGCAGAGCACATTGGGAATATATATACGTCATGCATTTTGCAAAAGAAAGTCCCATTTATAGCCATGCAGTTACACAAAGGTGATACAGAACAGCCCTCAACGAGCCAAGTGATGCATGTTTGTTCCTTTCCACCGACTTTGCATACTTTCCTAGTAAAGGTAGAAGGGGCCTGTCCCATCGGATAATAATGAAACCCTTGGAAAGCAAGGCTTAGTATCTTGATAGAAAAAGGGATATTTGCAGAGGAAACTGACTTTGTTGTGTTTGGCGGACATTGCAAAGTCCGGGTTTCTCTTTTGGCGGTGTTGATATAGTCCGCAAGGGGCTCAGAGCCGACAAGAATCGAAACTAACCCCTTCAGGGGATACTTGGCACGCCATGCTTGCGTAAGAACTCTAGAACGTGTCTGCTTTGTTGGCCACCTATTAATCCCCGGCTTTTGCTACCCCGGACACGACCCAGTAAAAGGCGGGGAAAATCTGGGGTTGGTGAATGGAGCCTGGAGTACATCATGCGGATTAGTTGAGCCTGAGTCTTGGTACCTTGGCAAACCTTTTTCGTTCTGTTTTCACTATGAGTTTCGGCATTTCCCTAGCCTATTCCATGAGGCGTGAGAAGGATGAACGGACTCTCTTTGTCCGCCTCGGCTGAGAAGCATTGTCTATAAATGACCCTAACTCGTGGTGTGATGCTTGAATATAATTGACACGGTTGTTTATTCTACACACCGGGTGAAGGTATCGCCACTATATCATCCTGCGTTCTTGCTATTAATACTCACTTCCTCAGCCGAGGTATCCCACCTCAGAGCTATGGCAATCTTTTCTAAAACCATGAAACCATATTCGACCCCTAACTTGGAAGACAAAGAGTCTAACAACGCTCACGTTGAAGATGTTGACTCCCTCAAAGTGGCAGACGAGAAAGCCCAAGGGGACTATTCCGGGGCTACAGCCAAGATTGACCCGGCAGAAATCAGACTTGTGCGCAAATTGGACCTTAGAATCATGCCCATTCTGTGGTCAATGTATTTTCTGAACTATGTAAGCATTACCTCGACCTAGGTATATTGCAAGCTCATAAACTAATGCAATTGAAACAAAGATCGATCGCAATGCCATCGCCAATGCACGTCTCAACGACCTCGAGAAGGATCTTGGTCTTGTCGGAACACAGTATAACACTTGTATCTCGATCTTGTTTGTCGGGTATGTTAAAGACTTCCCTGATACAGAAGAAATAAGACCTAGGCTGACTTGAAAACTAGGTATCTCCTGATGCAAATTCCGTCGAATATGCTCATGTCCTCGAAAAAGTTCCGACCTTCTTTATATATGAGCGGGTGCATGGGACTATGGGCTATTGTCTCAGCTTGTACTGCTTTGACAAAAAGTTACATCGGTCTTCTCCTCGTCCGATTCTTTCTAGGAGTCACCGAGGCTCCATTTTATCCGGGTGCGCTGTTTTTACTGTCGGTTTTCTACACGCGCAAGGAAATCGCTCTGAGAATTTCCATCCTGTATACTGGCAATATTGTTGCCACTGCTGTTGCTGGCCTGATCGCAGCTGCAACCTTCGCGACTCTGGATCAGCACATGAATCTTAAAGGATGGCAGTGGCTTTTCATCATTGAGGGTGCGGTTACATTTGGCATTGCCGGTCTCGGAGTTTTCATGTTACCAGATCATCCACTCACCACACGATGGCTAACGCCAGAAGAGCGCCAACTTGCACATGACCGCATTCGGAGAGATACGGTTGGAAGTGACGAGTCGAAGGGTGCTCTCGCCGGCTTGAAGCAAGCCATGGCCGACCCACGCGTGTACCTCTTGGCCTTTATGCAGAACATGCATCTAAGTGCATGTGGTTTCAACAACTTCTTCCCGACTGTCGTTGGTAGTCTTGGGTTCAGCAGCACAATCACCTTGGTTTTGACATGCCCTCCATATGTGTTTTCCGGCATCTGCTGTATCATCATTGGTATCACATCTGGTCGGTACAACGAGCGGACATGGCATATTACATTGTCCATGGGTGTCGCTGTTGTAGGATTTATTATATCCTGTGTGACACTTAACAAAGGTGCAAGATATGTGGCTTGCTTCCTCTTTGCTAGTGGTGCATACGCCGTCAATTCAGTCATTCTGGGATGGGTGTCTGCTACACTGGGTCAGACGCCAGAGAAGAAAGCCGCTTCGATTGGCTTTATCAACGTTGTGGCTAATGCGTCTTACATTTATACAGCCTACCTCTATCCAAAGAGTGATGGGCCTCGTTACTTGACTGGAATGTCGGCAAATACGGCTTTTGGAATTGCGACCATTGGAAGTGCTTGGGCGTTGAGGTGGTGGCTGCAGAATACGAACAAAAAGATTAGCAGGGGTGCTCTACCTGGTGCTGGTGACGTTCTTTATGCCTATTGAGAGATTGCTTGATGAATCAAATCACGTGTTTATAAGTCGGTATTGAATAAGAAGCCTGGATCTCTCCTGCACTTCTACAATGGCAGCCCCAATGAAATGGTTACCCAAGTTGATATGCCCAAGAGAGTAAAAAATAGAAGAATCATCCACGTTTGGAATATGCGATTCTCAAAAAGTCTTTGTTCAAGTTGATCAAGCTTGCCTTGCATCTCCTCTTCTGCCGTCAAAGCTTGAGCCTTGCTGCCGAGGATTCCATGAGTAGCATCCGTACGTGTTGACCCCGATAATATTCTTTGTCTTATGGTCTAATAATATAGGGTCAATGATGCGTTCATACAAATCGCAGCTGAAGACAGGTAGGCTTTTGAGCATTCACGTTCAAGGGTGAGTCAGACTTACGGGGTATGATGTTGGCGAGGGCGTTGTCCATGCTCTTGCAAGCCCACTTCGATCTAGGGCGACAGCAAGCTCATAGTGCTGTCGATTGCGACCTGAAATGGTATGGCTAGACGAAGGTCTCTGTTCAGCCCCAAGATTGCCTCTTTTAGGAGAATTTTCAGGTTCTGATCAGTGCACGAAAGGTTAGACTAGCCAATAGTATCGCCGTGGTGTGGTCAAGTTGCGAACGGAATAGTACATACTGCAAAGTTCTTCCACAAATTGGAAAAATGGGATCGCCAGCAAAAGGACAGGCATGACCTGACCGAATCCCCATTCACTCTCGTCGCCCTGCCGCCCCTGGTGGGCAGCCTCTGTTCGTTCACGGATCACACTGTGTCCAGCATACATCAATGTCGCGTATAACCTGAGCATATCAAAGGCCCCCGAGAACACAAACTCCCGACATGGAATAATCATAAAGAACATCCAGGTCCAGAATTCCTTTTTCCGGGCGGGGGTATTGGGACTCTGTGCTCGAAGCAAATGGCGAGACGGCCATGAGAATGCCCAGTACGTGAAACGATCGATTTGAGCAAAAGGGGGACAATCTGGTATGCGCGGAAATAAGGATATTGTGATGGTGTAGAAAGACCAAAACAACATCACACACTCCACTACCACCAAGAGTACACTTACACTATTCCATCCTTCAGTCATCTTGTCTAGGGCACATTGCACTGATGCTCCGTATAGATCCCCGACGAGGAAATAGGCATTCCAGTTCAGAATTCTAGTAGGGAATATAGCGCCGAACATTACCACGATCCAGAGGTAGCGCCAGAGTCGTTTGTAGAGGCTTCCTTGTAAATGGTCCCTAATTGTCATGAACGTTGCTTGAAAAGTCGCGAAAGATAAATAAGCCAGTTGCGACCCAATATGGAAGTGATATTGTGTGATGGTGCAATGGGTTGAGTATAGGATTATGAGAATGGACGCTCCTGTGATAAGTTGCACGTCGGCAAGTTGGAGGCATATGGCGTGGATACGCTCTGTTCGGATACTCAAGACTCGGTCCTGCCAAACGCCACGGCATAGAAGGCAGAATGATAAGGGGACATGACTCGATAATTTACCAAACAGAGGACTAATGCACCGGTCTGCAGTGAGTTTGACAAGAAATTGGGTTTTTGTGCGCAGGAGTGAGTCGAGGTGGTTGTAAAAGTCGTCTGGAACGATCCCTTCGGTAAGGAAGTAGGCATAAAAAGCCAGGAGGTTCGTCAAAATTGCATATACGAAGAATGAAGTAATCACCTGTTGAGATTGTCAATCCACTGCTAGAAGCTGCAGCGCGTGTGTTTTAATCATACCCCGATGCCAGCCTAGATGTACAGTATGAGTTCTGTGCACGATAGCACATTTCTGTTGTTAATTGGGTGATTTAGAGGACTGACAATATCAGGGTCACCTTCAAACTTCCATGGTGATACCTCTTCAGTATATTCGATGTCGCTGGGACAATGAGGGTACGGGGTGCACATTTTAGAATGCTTATTGCTCTTGCTTTTGGATGGTGCTAGATGTGGTTTTGTCCCAACCTAGGAGCTTGGCGAACTTATCATGTTAAATAGAGGAAGAGTTTTAAATTTGTAAGATGGCTGATGAAGCCCAAGATGTGAGAACTCACTGCCAGTGTATAGGAGAGAATATAAGTAGGCTATGCGTGGTAAGCGCCAACATGATCACCCAGGTGTTGCCAACGCCAATGATTTACGCCCACGCCGATCAATGCCATTTAAATTAACTTTCATTAAAAGAAGGCGTATACTAGCTTCTGTCCATAGGTAAGCGGCAAGGCCCCGGGGGTGTTAAGAACTTAGGGGAAAAAAAAGAAGAAACACCGGAACGACTCTACACTATGCTTCAAAAATGGACCAACTGGAGGGATAGAAAGGCGACAACACATCATTTCTGTCTGATCTACTCCGTAAACCTCTATCTGATATGCTTGACTGGCTGCAGATGCCAAGAGTTCTAGTGCTTTAAGATGAAGCAGGGCACCCAATAGCATTACTCTATAGCTCAGCTGAAAGGGTGTTTGAGTAGTGGCGCGACTGGTGGGTTATTCTCACCCTTTGAATATTTTCTGTCTGATTTGTACTGCTGAGAGATCATTCATTCAGCGCTTAGCTATCTGCTTGTGACTTGAAGTAAAAATAGAAAACCGTTGGGGGGCCGAAGAAGGAAGAACAAAATTGTTGTCACCGTCTTAACTGGAATGATCGGGCTACTTGGATGGACATCAACATGCGTAAATTTTAAAAGCTATATACGATCCCGCAATTCTTCTAACGTGAGTGAAAGTATTTCGGCAATCTCTCGTGCCATATCCGACTTTTTACCCAGTAGCCACAACCCCTTCATACAATCCTCGGCCTGCTCCATGTTTCGCTCAAAATCATGACTATTGTGCCCGAGAGTAGTCCCGGGGCAGCGCAGAGACTCATCTGCATCACTTAGAAAGACCATGCAAGCTTTGGTAAACGCCCTGATCAAAATAATCGTCCATGGCTCGGTCAAGACCGTGCCCTCGTTGACAGCGTGGTGAAAGTCTGACATCTGCGGCACACCCAAGCTGTTATAATTTGTAGTAGACGGCGTACCGACTCTTGCCAGACGTGATAGCCCCCTGGCACTGTGAATCCTCATTTCCCTCGCCACTTGGTTGGTGATACGAATATGAGTTGCACCATCCCTACCCAGGGAATTTTCGTCAATGAATTCAAACAGATCCGCAAGCATTAGAGAAGCAAGATACCAGTGAGCAGAGATACACAGAAACCAGCCCTGTATACGCTGCGGAACCGCGTGGTAGTTCTGCACCAGTTCACCAAAGAAGGCGCCGTGCGTTCTGTTCCAGTATTCATATAATAGCATCGTCATGCGGATAATGTCCTCGATCTGGCCTTGAGAGGCACCCTTGCGAACGGCATTTTGTAGGTAAGACAGGTGGCGGAAGAGAAGAACTTTGACCGGCGCTGACTTGATTACATCTTCAGCTGCAGCCTCATAAGAACAAGGCCAGTGCGTTCGATGCGTCTGCTTGAGGTTTCCTGGCAGAAAGAGATCGAGATTCCACCGACCTCCTTGAATAGATTTGTCCATATTCCCGACTTCCTCAGTCTCCTTTTGCCCTTCGTGCTCGCAGTCCTGATCCAGTACCACAACGGGTCGTTCGTTCATGGACGAGGAGAGGGTGTCACACATGATAGCCATCCAGTACAGTAGACCGACTGTCTCTCGATCTTCGGCACTCATGGCCTCAATTCCGTGGGTGCCCTTCTCGCGACCGCTGTACTGTTTGCCGAGGCCCTTATCGAGTGCGTCACAGCGATACTTCAACGCATGCATTTTCCGAGCTGCTCTCTCCAAGTATATTGGTGGCCCCTCTTTGTTTATTATACCGTTCAATTTTATCAAGACCGATTCTGTAGCAAACGTGCGGCCTTGTTCTTGCATCCTCTGTCCAGGCGGCCGATTGCCGGGACTCCATGGCCTTTGCGTCAAGCCAAAGATCATCTCCGCACATGCCACTCTATAACACTCCAAATCGGTGACTTCTTGAAGTGCACGTTGCGCCTGGTCCCAAAATTGGCGCTGAAGAATGCGGTCAAACTCTTCGGTAATACCATTTGAAACCTTGTTCTCGCCATAATAAAGAGGCCTGGTCGAATATTTCTCGCGGTGCCGACGACTGCCCTGTGCCCACTGCGTAGCGAAGGCCATGATTGCAAGGTGCAGAGCCTTGGACGCGGCCTGGTCCTCGGCGTGTGTCAGTTGAAGAAGGTTGCAAGATTGTGCGACACGATCGAGCCTGATGGTACGCTGATATATCATATTAGACCGTAAGGAGCCCCGTTCGCGTTTATTATGAGCGATATTTCCTGACCTTGCTTGGTAGGGACAAGTCATGTCGCTCAACCAACAAGATAGGCTATACTCCAACACGTCGTGGTAGATTTGGAGCAGGTTGGCTGAGGTCAGGTGGCGGGTGGATGAATTGATCATTTGTTGATCGATGGAAAATGGGGAGAGTGACCCTTGCGGGCTGTCCCAGTGGGAGGATTGCGGGTTGAGAGACATCCAGGAAGTGTCACTCGACCGCCGGGGGGCTTTGGGATTGGGCGGATCCGAGGCTACTGTATGTTTGAGAGGCCAGCCACATTTGTTCGCACATTGGATCAATTTCGAAGTCCGAGGGTGGCTGTGTAGAGGTATTTGGCGAACTAGAGACGTAAGGTGGCATGAGATTAGACACAGATCGTGTAGATGCCCATGCGCTAGGCGTCTCTGCCTGCATCCTTTCCTGTGAATTCTCGGTATCATTGAGCATGGAACTGAGCAGCATTGAATTATAATCAAGTAACGACCCGGAAAAATCCACGCTGGCTGACTCCGACTCCCAAGTCATAGGCTCCTGCATGGAATTAGGTTCGAGTAGATTGTTCCATGTTTCCAATCCAGTTGTAGCCTGGAGTTCATTGGATTTCCATGGGGAGAGAAGATCCCGATTTCCATGCCCATAAAGGGGGTTTTGGTGAGGGGATCTCAGCGTAGACCGAGCTTGTGATCGGGCCCATTCCATCGTACATCGTTTATTTGTTCTGGCACAGTACGAACAGGATGATCGTTGGCCATCGACGTTGTTAACCAATGTTCGCCTAGTCAGATCCAGGCATGGTGCATCGCATGCCCGTTTCGATTTTCTACACTGGTCGCAAGAGCCGTACTGACGCCTGGATCTGGATCCTTGTGCAAGAGCTGTGGCTCGTTTCTGGATAGGCATGTCGACCAACGTTGTTGACCTTTGTTTGTTATTCTCGTTTTCCCCCCGAGGTGGATGAATATCTGAGAAGTTCCCAAAAAGCGGGGAAACAGGCGAACCTTGGAGATCTTCTAAGGTTTATGCTTAAGGTTTGTTGAATTTCCGGGACCTCCGAAGCCCCTTGGAACTTCCCCGCATTCCCCGGATTTCCCTTAGTCCGCACATCCATGAAAGTTTAATGACCATCCTTTTTTTTACAAGTCTTGGGAACGATGTATTGTCTTGACTATAGGAGCTGTATATACAAGTAATATGGAAAGAGAAGTAGAATGTTTGTATTCTCTACAACCCAACGAGCGAAATATGAATAGGGAACAAGAAGCCCTTCCACATCAAGCCTTATCGAGGGCTTTGTATATCTCAGCCTCAACTGCTCCCCATAGCCCAAGAACCTTGGCGTCCCCAAATGGCAGGATTTGTGTGCAAACAATGCCCGCAACACCCTTCTCCCTGTCCGCCCACCACCACAAATTCGCCAGTCCAGCCCAGTGCCCTGTGCTACTCGACCGCCCAGTTGCACCGCCATTGCTTAGCATAAATGTGATGCCCCAACCTTGTGGCGGGCTCCCAGCAACTGGGTATAATTCAGGAATTGGGTTAGTTAGGTCCGGCTTTGCATCCGGGATGCTTTGACGGCTGTAATCGGGGAACCGGGGAATCTGATTAGAGAACATTTCGTCGACAGTCTCTTTTTGAAGCAATTTGCTGCCTGTTCTAGGGCACGTTCCATCATTCAATAGCACTGCAAGGACCTCTGCGGAGACAAGTCAGTGTATGGAATCTCGACAGGTTTTCGGAGCTACTCGCGACTCACTGCAATATTCCTGCGGCTTGGCAAATATACCCGCACCACCGCTGTTAAATACTCTAGCGACTTCAGCATCGTTCTCCAGGTCAACGACCAGAGGCGCTCGAAGGAGATGATCTCGTGGCCTCAGGGTGCCATCCGGGTTTCGATGATTCATGTACGCCAGCCTCTGGCGCATGTCGTCGCTCGGGAGCATGGACATTTCTTTGATTCCGAGAGGCAGGAAGACATTCTTCTGTAGGTAGTCGTTAAGCGTTAGGCCTGTCACGCGTTCCAGTGCGATCCCCGCCCAGTCGATACCAACCTATTCTCATCAGCGATACATTCATGATTCTGGATTAATGGCACTTACGCCATATTGCCAGCCTTCACCGGGCTGGAATAGCAGAGGCAGCTTCATATCCTCAATTCGTCCAGAGAACTCATCTGCTCCAATCGGGTACGACCACTGTTTCAATCTCTCATTGAAAAATGTATAGCCAAATCCGGCAGTATGGGTTAACAGCATACGCAGGGTAATTCCATGCTTCTTCTCTTCAAGGCTCCCATCTGGCAGCAAAACTTTGAGACTCTTCAATTCAGGGCAAAGACCCTCTGTCTGCTCCGCATCATCTAGCTTAAGAACGCCCTGCTCAACCAATTGCATACAGGCAACACCAACCAACATCTTCGTACAAGATGCAATCCAGAAGATGCTGTCCAAGGTCATGGGGTCATTGGATCCCGCACCTCGATTACCCGCAGAGTGGGCTAATAATTCGTTGCCATCTTTTCCAACAACCACGACCGTGGTCCCTGGAATACCTGACTTTTGGTCTTCACAGGCTTTGTCTATGATATCGCAGAGATGCGAATGCACCTGCTCATTTAGAGGCATGTTGCCGAGGCCGTTGTGGAATAGGATAGAGGATTGTTATGTTGTATCGCTAAAAGGTCGGGTCCACCAAAAAGAACAGAGGGCAACCAGGAGCATGGAAGCGTAACTTATTTAATAGTTTCAAACAGCGGAGGATACCGTGTGCACCCCCGCGTGATACCGAGGATTCCCCCACTTCTGCGGCCATGCCCAACTAACTTTGCGGAACCGCTGTGGATTGCGGAACCGGGTGCGGGGAAGTTTCAAGATTGTCGCAGCTCCGGGTCCGCAACTAGTGGCCGAAAGGGGTCCTATCACACCTGCAGGATACTTTGTGATGGGAAATTGAGGAATGCAGGCACTGATGTGACGTGTACCACAGCTTACTGTGGCATCACGAAAATGCAGCTCTGAAGCGCTTCGGTTCTTCTGGAGAATCAAGTTGTCATTATTGCTCCTCCGGATGGAAAGCTACACTATAAAAGTAGGGTTATAAGAAAAACATGAGAGTTGATTCGGATAGAAGGTCTCCAAAGCTCAGATTCCAACCCAGAATCTATCAAGTCAAGGACTGAAGCTCCGGGCAAAAAGCCACATTGTCACGATGACCACAAAAGTCCGCCCCACGTGGTGCATGGAGGAGGGGTACCCTGCGGTTAGCTGTATCATGGGCACCGAGTAGAATACTGTTCGCAGCATATACTATCATCCGCAGCAAGACATGGGCGAGGATACGTATAAGTAGGAGGAGGTGCCCGGGAAAGAAAGCTTCATGACACTCCAACAGTCAGTCTTCTTATTTAGTTACAACAACAGCAACACTTGCTCATTTCAATATTTAATCGAAGAGTCTGTCAAAATGGGTAGCATCGGAGAGATCGTCTCCAGACCAAAGAAGTATAACACTGAGCTCACCGACTACTCAGAAGTCCATGCCGATAAGACTGGGCCATATGCTGAAAATCTCGAGGTCGATGCGTTGGTAGTTGGTGCCGGTTTTGGTAAGCCCTTATTCCAGGCTTCATTCACCAACCAGCTGACGAGATAGCCGGTATCTTTATGCTCAAGACGCTTCGTGATCGCGGCCTGAAGACGGTCATTTTCGAGGCCGGTAATGACACAGGTGGCACCTGGCGATGGAATTGCTACCCCGGCGCCGGCGTTGACTCCGAAGTCCCAGAGTACGAGTTCTCTTGGCCCGAAGTATACAACACGTGGAACTGGCCCAACAACTACCCTAACTACCAAAACCTGCGTGATTACTTTGACCACGTTGACAAAGTAATTGGCGTCAAGAAGGACTGCGCCTTCAACACCGTCGTGGTTGGAGCTCAGTTTGATACGAACGAGGGAAGGTGGAGTATTAAAACTGCAGATGGCCGGACGACCAAGGCCAAATACCTCGTCCTTGGAACCGGCTTTGTAAGTAATTACACCCCTCAGTCAAATTAAGGCCTGCTAATAAACTGTTTAGGCCGCTAAACGTTACATTCCCCCGTGGCCCGGCATGGATAAATTCAAGGGTATCGTGCACCACTCATCTTTCTGGCCGGAGGAAGAAATCGACGTGAAAAGCAAGCGCTGTGGTATCATCGGCACCGGTGCCTCGGGTGTGCAGATCACGCAGGCCTGGGGCCCTGAGGCTGCCGACCTCAAGGTCTTCCAACGAACTCCTAACCTTGCCGTACCCATGCGCAAGCGGGACCTCACTGTTGAGGAACAGGAACGCATCAAGCCCTACTACCCAGAGCTGTTCCGGTACCGCGAGACTAACTTTGCCGGCTTCCTGTATGATTGGTGCGAACGCAACACCTTCGACGACACACCCGAAGAGCGCGAGGCCCTCTACGAGAGCGTCTGGAAGGAGGGTGGTTTCCGCTACTGGGTTGCCGTGTACAAGGATAACTTGATCAACCCCGATGCCAACAAAGAGTCATACAATTTCTGGGCCAAGAAGACCCGTGATCGTATCGGTGACCCCGTTACGAGGGAGTTGCTTGCACCTCGGAAAATGCCGCATTATTTCGGTATCAAGCGGCCATGTCTTGAGAGGACCTACTACGAACAGTTCAATCGGGAATCGGTACACCTGGTTGACATTAAGAATAACCCGATCAAGGAGTTTACTGAGACTGGTATCACACTCGAGGACGGAACTCACCATGAACTTGATGTTATTGCTGTCGCAACTGGATTCGTAAGTCCTGTTTAATGCACCACCGATATCACATGTGCTGATACTCACAGGATGTCGTTACCGGCGTCATGACCCAGCTCGGCCTGAGGAGCATCGACGGTGCCGAGCTCGAGAAGGAATGGATTCCAGGCGCAAAGACCTATCTCGGTACCACTGTGAGCGGCTACCCCAATATGTTCCACATCTATGGCGCACACGGCCCAACACTCCTGAGCAATGGCCCCACGTCAGTCGCAGTCCAAGGCCGCTGGATTTCCGACGCCATTGCCAAGATTGAAGCCAATAATATCAAGTACATCAATCCCAAGATTGAGGCTGCTGATAAGTGGAAGAACCATGTTGTGGAGCTCAATAATAGGACTCTCTTCCCCACGGCGCAGTCGACGTACATGGGTGGCAGCATCCCTGGCAAGGTTTCTGAGCCAGTGTGCTACTCTGGTGGTATCCCCGCTTATGCTATGGAGATTCGGGCGGCCCTGGATAACTGGGAGGAAGGATTCGATGTCGTCAGGGCTTGAGTGGGATTCGATGGACGCTTGAGTTTGTTTCTGATATTGAGTGGCAGTGGGCGTTTAGCTCCCACCCAAGGGCCCGAAGCATATCGCGTGAGGTACTTTGTTTTAACTTAGCAGAGAATTCAAAATACTTGAAAGATATTTCATATTCTGATATAATCCCAACATTCATGCTATTGTTAGCGTTGATACTACCGTTAACCGAACTCCCATTTAACGCGTCTTGGAGTGGATGAAACCATTTATTTACATTATAGCGGGGAACTATTCTCGGACAATAAGCTAGCCATCATCCATGGAGGTGACTGCTTGCCACGGGGACTAACAAACTGGCTAGTGCTCCGAAATAAGTCCTATGCGAAATGTTTATAATGGATCTCCACCTATCATTCTATGTCAGGAACATCAGCAGTGTCAAGGCTGCCCTTATTGACTCAAAAACAGCGGGCTTCCCAGTGGGCCTTCCTCAACCACAGTGTGCGAACGTTCTTTTGGGTTACGTATTTTTAGCAGATCAAAGTACACAGATGGTAGCCAGATTATGTTTGCGATAGAATTCCTCTAATTGTAGTCACACTATCGATGCGTTATATAAGCTGGGCCCAATGATAGATGACAAAGTCCGTCGGTGGGCTGTAACAAGCTCAAGCTTCATTCTTATGGTCTCTATACACAACGTGCACCATCAACCAGGATCTCAACACCACTGATAATTGAGCTTGCAGGCTCTGCCAAGAAGAGAGCGACATTTGCAACATCGGACGGTTCGACGAGGCGACCGATTGGGATCGACTCGCACTTCGCCTTAATGATCTCCGCGGGAACCGGTCCATCTGCGATACCAGCGAACTTGTTCAGGAGAGGCGTGTTTCCGGAAGTCGGACAAATAGTATTGAAGCGCAGTTGATCTCGGGCAAATTCCAAAGCCATCGACTTGGTGGCCGAAGAAACTCCCGCCTTTGTAGCGTTATACCATGTCTGCGTAGCGCCGGGACGGATAGCATTCTCGCTGGAAATCACAACGGTGGAACCCGGGCCATTCTTTTTCATTTCAGGGACGAGGACCTTTGAACCGAGATAGATACTTCTGACGTTGACGTTAAATAGGCGGTCAAACTCTTCCACGGTCACATCGAGTCCGGACTTGTTGGGGTACGACCAGCCGGCATTGTGAACGACAATTGATGGAGCTTTGCCGAACTTTGCGATAGAGGTTTCGAGCTATACGAGAAAGGTCAGCATCATAATACTAGCAAAAAAGGGTCTTGTTGAGGATAGTTGGCTTAGCTTACCGCTTTGATCCAGCTTGCTTCTTCAGCAACATTAGCCTTGATCTGGTAGGCCACGTTCTCGGGGTAGCCATCAACAGGACCATCGGTGGCCTGGAGATCCATTCCAAGTACTACTGCTCCCTCGCGGACAAAGGTCTCAAAGATTCCGCGTCCGAAGCCTTGGGTTGAGCCCGATACGAGAGCAATCTTTCCTTCAAGGCGGCCTGGCATGTTGACGTTTTCAAGGTTTGTCGTTTGAGTTTTGTTTGGAAAATACGAAGGTTCTTGACTTGATCGTAACAAGAGGCTTTTGGGTATTATTTATATGAAGCAATTCCCCATTTGACATAGGCGTTGAAGCATAATCTACACACGGACCACTGATCCGGCTGCGAAGTCGGATGGCCCTTCCGGGGTTCGGTCTAAGCTTATCTCTAGATATCAACTGCCCTCGGCCCGGCCCACTTCGCCAGGATACATACCTCCTAGATTAGTTACTTGGTCTTATCGGGCTGCAGTCCGATTGTGGGGTAATATGTCAATTTGCCCATAACATCTGCCAAGAAGGGCTAGAGGACGAGAATGATCTTCCAGTCGGTCAACTGATGTTCCAAACGAGCAGATCCCGAATTTTGCCCAGTATGCATCCGTTTTGCGAGAAAGAGATATTTTGCATCTTCGGTGGGCTCGTCATTACTGGAACTCTATATCCTCATTATTGAATCGACAACTACACATGCAATATTACACATCCCAAAAGCCCCAAATTTGTTGAAACCCCGACACATACAATTTAATTTTACTTTTGCAGGGAAAGAAATGATACGGAAAATGCCTCAGTAACCTACAAATAGCACAGGAGATAAGTATATAAGCATGAAAATTGTAGAAATTGATGCAGTGACAGTATTTATTTAGTTCGGGGTCTGGGGTAGTATTGCCTTGTGACATGTGCAAAGTTCCTGGATATGCATTCTTGCAGCAATGTCTAACCAGATAAATGCGTTGTTCACCAAGTCATCTATTCAAAATATAGCATTAAGACCAGCTTGATCTTATCCCTTCTAGAATATCACTTTTTCCTGTCACAAGGCATGGGAGTGGCTATTTGTATGTTTCCTTCTATTCTATCAACCTGAATAGACAGCCAGACTGCGATTGTGTCATCCGCGTTGGAATGTCTATTGAGGTAGCTTATATATCAACCCCGAAGGGATAAGGGTAAATAATGGGTCTATCTACCCAGAGTGTGGATGAAAACATAGGAATCAAAAGAAGGAGTTTCAGATATCGTAGCTGTCATCTTCAGAAAATGCTACAATATGATAAGATCAAATTTCACACTGCTATCTGCCCCAATACATACATAGTATACCAAATGTAAAAATTCCTTCTCGACGCCTAAGAGTTATCACCACATGAGAAGACTCCCGATACCGATCCATCATCATACGAAGCCTGTATACTCAACACAGATGAGTAAGTCCCCCCGATGATGATAAAAAGTCCCGAAACAATCAGGAAAATTGCACCTGCAAGTGCCAAGGCTTGTTTCCACCCATTCCGATATGCTTTGAAAGCAGCAGGTAACCAAACCATGGGCGAGATTGTTTTTGCAGTTTCCACCGTCTGGACTCTATCGCTTGCTATGATAGGTTTTTCTCCCAAATAAAAGAGGATCATGAGACCAGGAAAGACATTAGTGAAAACGGGATTAAAGAGTGCGCCGACCAAACTTAGAAAATCGTCGAAGAAAGGCACAACACCGACAATAATGAATCCAAAAACAACAGTCACGGTCATTGATCCAACCCAAACGGCCCAGTGGGTGACTGTGTTGGATTGAAGATGCCGTGTGCCGCGGAGAATTCTGACGAACCAATATTTGCCCGCAATGTGGCTCCATAGAATGGCCGTCACCAATAATCCGGGAAACGCAATACCGTATGATATCTTTTTGATCAAGACGCCAGCAGACCCCAGGGCTGGGCTTACAAGATATTGGCCAATCTTGCCGTACATGATGGACGAAATGGCGATGTTCGTTATAACGATAAAAGACTGGCCACAGATGAGAGCGCGCGTGAACTTTTGGGGTTCCTTCATCTCGGCCGCAACGGAGAAGAAAGTTCCTGATGCACCCAAAGCAAAGAGCTGGGTGGATACTGCTGCCATGGCTTGGGTAAAGTTTGCCTTGGGCAAAACACGAATGTCTAGGTTGAACGGCCCGGGTGGTGCCCCCGCGGGCCTATCTCTGGTAAGACAGGCGATTGCGGTTATCCAAATAGCGAAGATGATGCCAGCCACGCCGATCCAACTGATCCAGGCTACCTTTTCCAGAGAACGGAAACCGGTTCCAACAACGAAGGCACATCCACATGCGACGGCGAGGAAGACCATAGTGCAAGCACCATGATCGGAGAGTGCGTTAAGTGCCACGGACGTGGTGAGCATGCCTGCTCCGGCGACGAGAGCGAGATATATGTAGTAGATAACCCCGATGAATTCTCGCGCTCCTTTTCCAAAAAGTAGCTCCGCGGCGTCGCCAATGCTGTGCATATGGGGATAATATAGCCTGGCATTCCCACTAACGTAACCGGCCACAGTTGTAATAACAGACAGAATGACGAAACACAGTACTCCGGGGAAGAATCCCAAGACATGAAAGGTGGCTGGGAGACTGAGAGCACCTAGGCCGATTTGAAGTTTGGCGATTAGGATAGCAGCCCCTTGCCATGAGACGCTCCGGAAGTCGACATCACCCTCTTCACTGTTGAACAAGTCTTGCGGTGCCTGGAAGCGAGCTTTGTGGTCCTCGTCGTGGGCCAAATCGTGGAAAGCCCCATTGTCGATATCATGTCCGTCGTCTTGGATTCGGTCTTTCTTGGATTGATTCATGTTGTACTATGAGTATGCATAAGATGGTAAATTTCAAACGTAACCGAAAGGGAATTTGAAAGCGCAATTTAAACACCCATAGAACATTTGACTCGCAGTGGAGTCGAATGAGCTTATCAGCTCGGGCCGAGAAAAGAACTGGGGTAAATTTTGCGGGGAAGATCGTCATTTTGCTAGTATACAAACGTCCTCTACAATGGACTTGGTCACCTCGGGCTCTTTATGTAAGAGTGGTACATCCTGGCTGTTTAAAATTTCGTCGTTCAAGTCAAACTGGTCCTGTTGGTGAAGAAAACAAAAGTCATCTATGATCTTTCTCTGCCGGTGAAAATGAAATTGATAGACCTTCATGATAAGAGCGCCAATAATATGATTATCTGTTATCATCAAGCTAGAGGAGACGTAGATAAAAAAAAGTAGATAGCTAGATATCCATGGATTTCATCTTTGCTCCTCGTCTATCTATCTATCTATCTATCTATCTATCTATCACCACATACGTAGCGTATTGATAATGGTATCTCGGTCCGAGACATGCATACCACGCACTAAGCCCTTGTCGGGCCGAGATTTTAAGGCGACTATCTCTTCCCATATCTACCATCCTTATTGATAATTTCTTCTTCTTTACTTCTAGCTCAATTCCAACAGGTTTACCCTCCACAGACTGTATAATCATGTTTGTTTTCACCAGAAATCATCTACTTCACGCGGCTAGGCGACGACCACTCCGTGGGTTTGCTACGTCAGCTTCAATATCGCAAGTCATAAACGGCAAAGCCAACCGAGCCAAAACAAATTATTTCAGCTCTAAGAACATCGCATATGCTACGGGTGGAACAACTCTAGCTATCGCTGGGCTGTTGTGGTCTGGACGTGGCGAGGTTGAAGATGTGGAGGATCCACGGGATAAAATGGCACTTTCATCGGTTCCATTGTCCAAGCTTCTCTCGGGTTGGGTGTAAGTCCGAAGTATGAGGTTATTTGAAAATTGGCTAACACCATAGTTCTGCAGTGCTTTTGCGTTTTGCTCCTCGCCGGCTTGGGTCGACATAAGCGAGTCTCTGTACAACGTATTATCGGAAATTCCTATTGTCGCCTCAATCACCAATGCCGTCGTCATGGAAACCTTCTTTAATCAATTTCTGGGGGTGAAACGGTTTCGGAATGTCTGCCTAAGATTGAGGCCCTTCGTAATGAGGAAATCGGTACCCTTCTCGGCTACAACATCGAAGCTGAACTTGACGGCTCAAGCAAGCAGACCCAACTTATCCTTGAACAAACACAACATGTTCTATCTTCAATTGAGGCTCAAGGGGAGTTGGCGCGAAAGTTCTGGCCTGACACCAGCGGTACTGGGGGCGACAGCCGTTGCTGGGTTCGAATCAAGATCACGGGTCTGCTTCCCAACCCGAGTGCGCTTTACCATGGCTCTCAGGCCATTCTCAAAGCTAGAGAAGAGAATGGCCTGGATAAGGATGTTCCGTATCCGGGACTGCCTCACGATGGTGACTGGGAAGCAGCACTCAAAAGTGTAACAGACTCGGACCGGAAAGAGCTGTTGAACCTCCGTGCAGTATTGGAGAGTATTGCTACGAAGGCAAGACAGAACAACGTCCGCATCGTCATTGATGCGGAGCAGACTTGGTATCAACCTGTGATTGACTCTTTAACCGACGAACTTATGCAAAAATACAACTCGCTGGAAGGACCCCCAACTTGTATAGCCTCTTTCCAGGCTTATCTCCGCAGATATCCCCAGCTTCTCAACCAACAGATTCAGCGCGCAGATGAGAAGGGCTACAAGCTGCTCTTCAAACAGGTTAGAGGTGCTTATATGGTCACAGAAGCTGCTAGATGGAAAGAAGAAGGGAGGGAGGGTCCTGGGCCGGTTTGGGAAACCAAATCAGAAACAGATGCCTCCTACAACTATGGGGTTGAGAAGACACTCTCCACCGTAGCTGAGCAGATACAAAAGACTGGTCATTCCAGGATTAGTGTCGTGTTTGCCACTCACAACTCCATCAGCATTGACCGCGGGATCGAGCTGTTAGAGAAATATGGGATGGCCAAGCGCCAGGGCGATACAAACAAGCTTGTGGTATCCAGTGAGACCGCTGGTAGTATTGCCTTTGCGCAGCTTTACGGTCAGTTATTCCTTTTTCTTGGATTGCTTCTGGTAATGATTCTGATAAATTGCAGGTATGAAAGATGACTTGACCAACAAGATTACCGGGTCTTTGATGGCTGAGGGGGATTTCCACTAGTTGTCAAGGTACATACTTTTCTTCCCCACGAGGAGTGATGTCATTAATGCTAATTTCTACCTAAGTCAATGAGTTATGGTGACCTCAAAGAATGTCTGCCATTTTTAGCGAGACGGGCCACCGAGAACAAAGCTGTTCTAGCGGGACGAGGCGGTGCTATTGCAGAGAGAGTTCGACTGGGTCGTGAAATTCGGAGTCGGTTGCTGCCTTTCACAAATTGATGTAGGCTCGTGATATTTAAATGTAAAGATCCTGTTTCATAGTTTCTGAATGTAATCCTTGAGTTACCATACACACTTGAGAGTAGTAACTTAAGACTCCTCATTGTTATATGTCATGTGTGATGTGCCTATAGAGTGTGCTTCTGTCAAGGTACAAAGTTCATCTTCGATCCCTGAGAGACAAATGTAAGCAATATGGCAATCGGTAACTACATGCGAAATCCATTCCTACGAGTCGGCCAGGGATTGAACACCTGTACAGCCGCAGAATACAAACAGTACAGGTTCTCCAAAAGTACATGTAGCTGGGCGCAACCCGTGGACATCATAGTCGATTACATAATCAACTGTACCAGCCCTGGAGTGGACCCGGATGCCCTTGTCGGACAAGGAAGTTTGATGAATGTTGCTAGCATGTACTCTCAGATACTTGGCATGATAAACAGTCCCGGCTATGCTATCCGACTTCTTCCCCCGCAAAGCCTGCTAATCGTTGGTCAGTTTATATCGAATGATCCGGTAGTTCCACCGCAGTACGCGCCAGACTCGGGTAGGCCCTCCGTCTATTTATCTACGTGTTGACCGGACCGAGATCTCAACCGACTCGGTCCGAGTAAGACAAAACGAGTGACTGGTGCAGATTATCTGGAGAACATAGATAAATATTTGGTTTGGTCTAACTATTTGTGTTTCATTCATTTAAATTATTTCAAATTATTTTAAATTATTTCAAAGATGGGAATTAACATCAATCAGTTAACGGTTGCCATAATCGGCTGTGGTAAGTGAATCATATCCTTCCATTAGCTCAAGCATGAGACGACTGACTGTTTCGGTAATTAGGTACCCTAGGAACCGCAATTGCTGCTGGCATTCTCGATCCAAAAGATGAAGAAGGTTTCCAAATCAAGCACCTCACCTGCACTGTCGGAACCGAACCCTCTCAAACCCGCGTCGAAACCGCCCTCTCTGATCACAAATCACGACTCACAGTTTTTACGGCGGATGACAATATTCGTGCTGTCCAAGAAGCAGATGTAGTGATATTGGCATTTAAGCCCTTCAAGAGAGCCGATGTCTTTGCAGTTCCCGGGTTCAAGGAAGCTTTGCGGGATAAATTTGTCCTTAGCATCATGGCCGGCATTACCACTGCTGAATTGAACCGCCTAACCTTCGGAGAAAATCACGATGACTCAAACAGTCCAAAGTCACTTCAGTCTGTACGTGCGATGCCCAATATGGCAGCTAGGATCCGAGAGGCTGTGACATTGTACACCTCGAGTCCTGCCACCACCAAGGAGAACCTCGAGCTCGCATCTTGGGTATTTCGTCAGGTCGGTGAGGCCCATCAAATTCCTGAGAAGTCTTTTGATATATGTGCAGTCTTGGTCGGTTGTGCCGGCTCGCTGCTGCTCCTTGCCATTGATGGATTGCTAGATGCTGCTGTCGCTGAGGGTGTGAGGCGACCGGAGGTGCAGAATTTGGTGGTGAACAGTGCTATTGGTATGATGAAACTGGTACCTGCAGGAGATCATCCGAGTGTCCTACGAGAGAAAATTGCCTCTCCTGGAGGATGCTCTATTAGAGCTCTCTTGGAACTTGAAAAGCTCGGAGTTCGTTCAGCGTTCACAAGTGCAATCCTAGCAGCGGCGGAGAAGTCGAAAAAGATGTCCTCTACACGTTAAGAGATCCAATGTACTTATTCAATGAATTAAAGGTCATTATTTTGACCATATTATGATTCCAAATCTCAGCCGAGAACAAATATTTTCAGTCCGAACAATTTTACGAAAATAGAAGAACTTGGAGCCGGTTCTCTTTTTTTTTTTTTTGCAGATCCTGATTCAGTTTCTCCCCATCTTCCCTATACATATAACACAAGGATTTCGACGAGATCGACTAATACCACACTCTCCTCATGGGTTGTCAAGGACGTATGATAGTTCGCCTACTATTTCGAGCTTGAAGCCGGAATCTGCATAGATTTTCAACCTGATTGAAGTTTATCAGCGGACTGATATTGCGAGGGGTTCATTCTACAATGCCTTACAATCGTAGCCATGCAATGTGTAGCGCAAAAGACCGTTCTCGCGGAAATTCTGTGAGGGCTGTCGATACTCGACCTCCGCAAACCCAACAAAGCTCATAGCCCAACCCAACCTAACTCACAAATACGCTGGGATTTGGGCCCAGTTGGCACTGAACAATGCAAACGTCTTGAAATTTTAATTACAATATGTTCAGACCCCGTTTCTAGCCCTTATGTTAAGGTAATATTTTAATATTTTAACTGATACATGATTAAGAATTAGTTAAATTTATATATCACGTTTACACGCGCGAGAAAACGTGTAATTTAAATAAGTCTTAAATTATAGAAGTTTACTTAGAAAGTAGTGGTGTAATATATATCCCGTAGTAAAGTGTATATTAAGCTTAAATTTTTCGCAACATCTCGTCCTCTACTCGTTGAATTTTGTTTAAAATTGGAATATATACCTATATACCTATTGTAACTTTATGTCCTCAACTTACACTCTATATACTTAGCACAAGGCGAGAATATAGCAACTATAAGACGCCAGTTTATAAGCGCTAAGACCCCTTGATAGGTAGGCTATGAAGGGCTAGTATAACTCATAGTCCACTGCTCGTTGGGCCTAGGGTCCCCATTTATGGGCTTTGTGGGGGTCTGATTAACACGCTCCGTTCCAAGGTCAAAGGGTTGCTTTCCTTGAGTGGTGAACTATCAACGAACGATGAAATTACATTCACGATTAAAAGCATCCTAGGTTCTAAATGGTTATTGGCTCAACTGTTGAATCAACATATTCTACCTATCTCCATTGATCTCTAACTATTCCGGAATATGGCAGGCAGACAAAGTAGTGCTGCCTGTCACATAACTATCCTTCACACAGCGAATGCTTGAAAATCTTAGCAAAACATTTACTGAGTTTGCTTTGTCGTTTGTACCACTTGATCGAGCTCCTCCAAAAGGATGCGCACCAATAACTGCACCTGTGCTTTTGTCATTGATGCAGAACATACCGACCGAATCTCTCAACTTCTCATCTGCAGTCTTGATAGCCTGTCTATCACGAGCAAAGACAGAACCTGCTAAGGCGTACTCGGATGTGCCATCGATGAGCGCGCATACATCCTCGAAGCCATTTATGTCGGAATCATCATATGTCTGCACTGTGAAAAGAGGTCCAAAGAGCTCTTTGTTCATCAAATCGGAATCCTTGCCACCTTCTTTGGTTTTGAAGATGGTAGGTTGAACAAAATAACCCTTGCTGCCATCTGTGTTGCCGCCGTAGATCAATTCGTGACCCTCATCCTTGGCGGACTGAACAAATCTTTCAAATCGCTCGAAAGAACCCTCAGAGCATACAGGTCCGAGAGGATGGTGAAGCTGTTTGACGTCATCACCGTGTGTCATCTTGGCTGCTTCTAGAGCCAATGCTACTTTCAAAGCACCCTGATCCCACATGGACTGTGGGACATAAATTCGGGACAAGGCACTGCATTTCTGGCCCTGGAACTCATATGCTGAGCGGACTGCAGCAGAAGCAATCCAGTCAACGTCGCCTGCGCAGGAGTTGTGGATAAGATGGAAGTTTTTGCCGCCACTTTCTCCAACGATGCGGGGGAAACTTTTATAGATGTGCGCGTTGGCGCCAATCTGAGCATGAAGGGATCTCAGGACTGCCGAAGAGCCAGTATAATGAAGACCGGCGAAGTGGGGATTGGTAAGAGCTGGCTCAACAACTGTTTGCGGGTTGGCCGTGGGCAAAAATTGAATCACACCCTTCGGCAGACCTGCTTCCTCCATGATTTCGTACAGAATATAGTTGGACAACACCGCCATGGGTGAAGGTTTCCAAAGAATGACATTGCCTAGGAGGGCTGGCGTGAAGGCAATGTGCGCTCCCAAGGCTGTAAAGTTGAATGGCGAGACAGCGAGCACAAACCCTTCCAGGGCCCGATAATCCAATTTACTCGACGAGGATTCGAATTGTTTTGGTGGTTGCTGCTGGTAGAGCTGGGCGCAGAAGTGGACATGGAAATTCAATGTATCGATAACTTCAGTGATGCAATCTCCTTCGGCCTGTCCACATGTCTTCCCTTGTCCAATCATAGTCGCGGCCAGGAGCTTCCACCGGTACTTTGAAGACTGAACAAGGTGGGCCGCTCTTCTGTAGATGGCTGCTCGATGTTTGAAAGGCATATTTGCCCAGGTCTTTCTTGCTTCCAGGGCTCCCGGAATGGCTTTCGCCTTGATTGTTTCCGCGTCAACTTCGTGATATACTGCTAATGGAGCGCCATATCGATTCCAAGGATTGACTTGCTTGCTCTTCCGGTCCGTGAAAATCCGTTCCCCATTGATAACACTTGGGATTTCAGCAACTGCATTCTCCAATTCTGCAAGAGCAGTCTTCAGAAGCTTTCTTTCCTCCGATCCGGGTTCGTATGAAAGCTAATAACCAATCAGTTTCATCATCTCAATGTTTTGCAGAAGAAACATACCCCATCGGCATTGGCTGGCTCTGGATACTGCACGGTTGGCATTGTGGTGTTTATGCGAATTGTATGGTGATTCTTGAATTTCCAATCCTAATGAAGTTCAGGGAAGACTGAACCGGGGAGTGATTGAGTGGTTTCTTATTGTTTTCAGACATGAGGGGGAACTTCTCGGCCCGGCGAAGATGAGCATCGAGATACTATGAGTCGGGCACCATATCCGGGCGCAGGTACCTAGGTAGTCATATTTTA